AGTGAGATCTTCTTCTATTTAACCTTTTGCAGCTTCCCAGGACCATATCTTTGTTCAGTGTAATTTTATATAAAAACAGCATTCTAATGAACATACCTGAAGGATATTAATAGTGCAGATAAGATCTTGTATGTTCATCCCATGTTACAATTCATGTAGGAAAAAGTAGATTTCTGAATAACAAAACCTTTGTCTTTAACAGGTGAGAGGAATGACGTGTGCCTCCTGTGTACATAAAATAGAGTCTATCCTCACAAAACACAGAGGGATCTTCTACTGCTCTGTGGCCCTGGCAACCAACAAAGCACATATTAAATATGACCCGGAAATTATTGGTCCCAGGGATATTATCCATACGGTTGAAGTAAGTGGTAAGATTTTGCATTTCTGTGTTCTTACCTATTCAGTCAGCACTCCATTGAATCACTTCTATTTTGTATCAGACCATGAAAAAGATCTGGTCCCTTTGATTACTCTCAATTAACATGTCTCAAATTTAACATAAATGTGTTTACAACCTTTTTTTTCTTGGTCTTTGTCAGGAAGAGTTAGGCAAAGGCATATTGGCACTATTAATCAGGAGTAGACTGAAGGTAGAACCACAAATTCTTTAAAAATATTTAGAAAATGGCAGTAAAGTACAATTTGTTATAAGATTAATTAATCATTAGGAAAGCAAGCATCATGCTAGATGCTTTATTGTACCTAGATCAAAGCAAGCAATGTAATCTTTAAAAATTTGTGTATAGTTGACACAACGATGTTATGTTAGTTTCAGGTATACAACATAGTGATTCAACAACTCAGTGGTTATGCTCTGCTCACCACAAGTGTAGCTAGCATGTGTCACCATACAACGCTATTCCAATACCATTGACTTATGTTTATGATGCTGTACCTTTTTTTCCCAATGACTTAGTCATTCCTTAACTGGAAGCCTGTATCTCCCACTCCCCTTCACCCATTTTACCCATCTCCCATCTACCTCCCCTCTGGCAATCATCAGATTGTTCTCTGTATTTATAGGTCTGATTCTGCTTACAAATGATGTATTTTTAAGTATGAAATTTAAAAGACCAAACCCTTTTATTTGTCACAAACTTATCTCATGTTCTTCAATAAATCAAGTGGTAGTACATGTGAAAATGCTTTAAAAGTTTTAATGTGGTATAGCCTTGTTGTTATAATGATTGGAGCATATTAATAGTTCAGATAAGATCCTATTAGTATAGATAATAATACCATTAACATCTTTGTGAAGCTAGCATTATTGAGTATTTACTATGAGCCAGTTACCAACTTTGCAAAGCTTCAACTCTTAATTTAATTCTCACAACAGTGCTGTCATCTTCATTTTGGATGTGACGAAACCCAGATTAAGAGAAGTTAAGTTACTTGCCCAAAATCACATAGCTAGTAAGTGTCATAGTTGGGATTTGAGCCTAGTCTTTCTTTTTTTTAAAAAAATTTTTATTTATTTATTTGAGAGAGAGAGAGAGCTCGTGCAAGCAGGAGGGGGGAGAGGGAGAAGCAGACTCCTTGGGAGTCTGACACGGGGCTCGATCCTGGGACTTCACGATCATGACCTGAGCTGAAGGCAGATGCTTAACTGACTGAGCCACCCAGGCGCCCTGAGCCTATTCTTTCTGACTCTAAAGCTCATGCTTGCTTTTTTCACTGTGCTGTGTGTTACACTGCCAACAAATGTAAGATGGCAACATTTTCCCTAGCAGTTGAAAATACAGTGTATGTTACTGTCTATGTGCATATGAGTCTTACTTATGTGTAGTTTTCTTTAATACTTCGTTATATTAGGGAAAATTTTTGTTCATGTTCTTTTTCTGATAGAAGAAGAGTAGAGACTGCATCTGCAAAGACTTGATACTATGGTGCTAACTTTTGTGGCCTATTATTCAATTTCCTGTACTTGTTTGGGGGATGGATGGATAGATAGATGTCAAAGCTAAAGTTTTAAAAAAGTGATTAATGTACATCAATACTAGTGGATGATGCTTGTCTAAATGTAAGATTTGTGATTTTACTATTGAATTCTGTCTTTATTAGATCATCAAACACTGATTCTGCTTTTTTCTAAAATTACTTATTAGAGGCTTTAGCTTACTTTTTGATATAAGAATCTTAGTGAGGACAGCTGCACTTGAGTTAAATCATTAGTTTGAGAACAGTAGGGTAGACATTAACTAGAGTTAAGGAACTATTCATTTCTTTGATGAAAGGCTATAAACAAAAGCAATTAAGAGAAGGGAGCATATTTTCATCTTTGCAGTCACCAGAGTGACTTGCACTCAGTAATTGAGTTGAATTCAAGTTCTTAATGACAGTACTGTGTCTTAGAATTTCTCTATATAATATTTTTATATTCAGTGAAATAATTGTTTTCTCATGAATTTCCTTAGAGCTTAGGTTTTGAAGCTTCTTTGGTCAAGAAGGATCGGTCAGCAAGTCACCTGGACCATAAACGAGAAATAAGACAGTAAGTTCTTTTGGTGTGTCAATGAAAAACAGATTTTGATTCTTTGTTACAGATTTTTTTAAGAGAGAGAAAGAGTGAGGGAGAGGCAGAAGAAGACGGAGAATCTTTTTTTTTTTAATATATATATATATATTTTTTATTTATTTGAGAGAGAGAGAATGAGAGAGAGCAAGCACATGAGAGGGGGAGGGTCAGAGGGAGAAGCAGACTCCCTGCCGAGCAGGGAGCCCGATGCGGGACTCAATCCAGGGACTCCAGGATCATGACCTGAGCCGAAGGCAGTCGCTTAACCAACTGAGCCACCCAGGCGCCCCGGAGAGAGAATCTTAAGCAGGCTCCACACTCAGCACAGAGCCTGATGCAGGGCTCGATCTCATGACTCTGAGATCATGACCTGAGCCGAAATCAAGAGTTGGATGTTTAACCAATTGTTATAACTTTAACATCCTGTTGACATGTCAGTTTTTACAATGTCATCCTTATATTGGGTGAAGTGGTCACAATTTGTATTTCCCTATAGTACATAGAACCTTTAACCATCAGCTACTTACTAAAATGATTTTTCTTTTCTACGTAAGGTGGAGACGGTCCTTCCTTGTGAGCCTCTTTTTCTGTATTCCTGTAATGGGGCTGATGATATATATGATGGTTATGGATCACCATCTTGCAACTCACCATAATAAGAACACAAGTCAAGAAGAAATGATGAACATTCATTCTTCTATGTTCCTGGAGCACCAGATCCTGCCAGGATTGTCCATTATGAATTTGCTATCCTTTCTATTGTGTGTACCTGTACAGGCAAGTGAAATGGTAGCAAGTATATATGTTAATAATGAAAAATAGCAAAATGTGACAGGCAAGGCTATTTTCAATTGCAAAACAGATATTAGCCAGAAGTTTGATCATTTTATGCTAGATGCTTCATAAAAATAATCTTAAACTGAGTGGTTAAAGTAGATAATAAATTCCATTTAACTCCTAAGGATATTGTTTAACAACAAAGCAGAGAAAAAGAGTTCAATTCAGATTTAGATATGAATTTAGCATTCATATCTGCTGTTGCATATAACTTTATGTTTAAAGTAATAATAATAAAATAGATATTTTACTTATTTATATTTGTATTTAATATTCTATAGTAAACATATTAAAATTAATTATATTACTATTATATCAAGTATATTAATATATTTTAATTATTAACTTATTATATAAAATAAAATGATGGTGATAATTATATTATGTTATTATTTTAATTACTTATCCCTGATACTGAAGTACATTACTTTCTGTATGTTTTCAATTCTTCTTTTCAGATAAACTTTTACTATGGAACACTTCATCCAATAAATCTGTTCCTTTTTCTGATCCTTATAAAAGGCAGTGATGATTTTAAGAACATCTTAGTATGTTTCTCTATACTAATAAAAAACAAGCTTTTCAGTTATGTTTACCAATGAAAACAGCCAGCAGTTCCAATAGCTTGTGATATTCTACTTAGGTTGAATTTTAGGCAGGGTGGCTGAGTTTTATGTAAAAAAACCATTGTCAAAAGAATGTAATTGCTTTCTTAGTTCCTGTTTGTGCTAGCATCTAAAAGAAAAATCTAAGAATCATCTGACTTTCTTTATATTATGGAATATCCGTTGGCTTATAGAGGACAGCTGCCAAGGGCTTGTACAGCAGTTTGGATCTCAACACACACATACCTGCTAAAATACAAACATTATTGTCTCAGCTTAAAATCTGTCCTTAGTCACCATACAATACATCATGAGTTTTTGATGTGGTGATCCACGATCCATTGTTTTCATATTGTATGGTGACTAACATAACATGATAAAATTAAAAAAATTTAAGAAAAGAACTCAAGCTCTGGGGAAAAAAAAATCTGTCCTTAGTGTTTACGGATAGTTAAAAGCAAAAGGAAATTAACCTTGAGACTATATCTTTGTTACTGAGCTCTATATGTGAATTTCAACATTTTTTTAAACAGCAATAATTATTGTTTCTATATTACAGTTTTTTGGAGGCTGGTACTTCTACATTCAGGCCTACAAAGCACTGAAGCATAAAACTGCAAATATGGATGTACTGATTGTGCTGGCAACCACCATTGCATTTGCCTACTCTTTGGTTATTCTTCTGGTTGCAATGTATGAAAGAGCCAAAGTAAACCCTATTACTTTCTTTGATACACCTCCTATGCTATTTGTGTTTATTGCACTAGGCCGGTGGCTGGAACATATAGCAAAGGTAAAGTAAGAAAGAGTGACATTTGTTAAAATCTTGGATGGATAAGTGATCATATTTTCTAGACCAGTTTTTGGAAATATACATTGATTTATATAGTTAACAAAAGAAGTGCTTCCATTTTGGTAACATTTTAAGTTAAATATTCCTTTAGAAGATTTACCGAACTTACGGAATTAATACTTTAGATAGGACAGTATATCCATGTTTATTTTAAGAGAGAGACATTTGCTAAGTACTTACTTATATCACATTATTAATGGAAAAATTGATGTGACCACAAGATTTAAAATAATGATGGAAAAAATATTCACCCATAATCCCTTGCTATAATGGAAATTACTTTCTAATTCTGTTCTGCATACCTTTATATTTTACAGAGTGGCAAACATAGTATACATACTGGTTTATCCTTAACGCTAGAAAGTTTTTTTCCCCTTTTTTGCAGTCCAGATATAATTATTTGGTATTTTCTAAATAATATTCTGTCAAATCATTGTGCTGTAACTCACTAAACCATTTTGGTTTTGTTCTCAGTTGGATTGTTTCGCATTTTAAATTTTAGATAATCCTGCATTAAACATATTCGTGTTTAATAGTAATTTCTGTTGAATTAGTATCTTAGGATAAATTACAAAGGATGTGAGTAAAGGGCATAAATCCTTTTGTGGCTCATGCAACAAGTTTTAGCATTCTTTTGTCAATAAGAATATGTTAGTGAAGTAGTTTTACTACAACTTCATCAGCATTAACTCCTGTATAAATTCTTGCTAAGTTAGTAGGCATTAAATGGTGTCATAGAGTTGCTTTTGTTTGCATTTCTTCCATTATTAGCAGGAATAAACATTTTTCTACACAGGAGGTATTTTATTTCTTCTTAAATTAATTGCCTAATGATGTCCTTTGCTCATGTACCTGAGTTCCTGATGTTTTCCTATTAATTTATGTTACTTTTTTACAAATTATACCTAATAATACATTTTATATTTTGTATACTTCGTATTTTTGAAGTAAAACATTTTCTAATTTGAACTAATTAATATTCCTAAAGCTATCTTTTTGGCAAATGTTAAGTATTGTATCTTTATTTTAGGTAAAACCTGAGCTTTTTCTTCCTTAGCATTGTTAACATGTTTGTTTTAATTTATAGGGCAAAACATCAGAGGCTCTTGCCAAGCTAATTTCACTACAAGCTACAGAAGCAACTATTGTAACTCTTGACTCTGATAATATTCTCTTAAGGTATTTATTTTCATTCTTCCCCCTTATCTTTTTAACTTCTTACAAAAAATATCAAATACACCCAGAAGTAGAGAGAAGAGTATAATGAACCCACATCATCTATCTCCCAGATTTAACAATTATTCACATTTTGCCAAACTTCATCTATTCATTCTATCTTTATATTGTTGCAGTAGTATTTTAAATTCCAGTCATGTTGGTTTATTGCTAAATATTCCTGTAGTATCTCTAAAAATAGGACATATTCTTATGTAACTATAATACCATATTGCATTTAACAAAATTAACAATATCTTAAGATCATCTAATATGTATATAGTCTATTCTCATTTCTCCTGTTGTCTCCAAAAAGTTATTTATTTATTTTAGAGAGGGGGAGAGAGAGAGAGCGCAAGAGAGTGAGAGTGAGTGCACACACGTGAGTTGGGGAGGAGCGCATGGGGAAGAGCTGATGGGGAGGGAATGGGAAGGAGATAGAATCTCAAGCAGACCCTGCGCTGAGCACAGAGCCCAGAGCCCATTCCGGAGCTTGATCTCACCCTGAGATCATGACCTGAGCAAAACCAAGAGTTAGATGCTTAACTGACTGAGCCACCCAGGTGCCCCGTCTCCAAAAGTTTTGTTTCTTTCTTTGAAACGGAAATCAAACAAGAGCCATGTGTCAAAGCATTTGACTGACACGTTTCTTTTAATATAGAACAGCTCTGGGACACCTGGGTGGCTCAGTCGGTGAAACGTCTGCCTTCGGCTCAGGTCATGATCCCAGGGTCCTGGGATCGAGTCCCGCATCCGGCTCCTTGCTCAGCGGGGAACCTGCTTTTCCCTCTGCCTGACACTCCCCCTGTTTGTGTGTGTTCTCTCTCTCCCTCTCTCTGACAAATAAATAAAACCTTAAAAAAAGTCTTTAGAACAGCTCTTCCCTCCTGTTCGCCCTCCCCCCTCCACGCCCTGCCCCTTACAGGTGACTTGTTAGATAACCACCCATCAATTGTTCTGTAGAATATCACACAGTCTGAATTTAACTCTTTGCTTCCTTGTGGCATCATCTAACTTATTCTGTAACTCCTGGCACCTGTAAACTGGAAGTTAGAGCTAAAGACTTGATAAGATTTCATTCTTTTTAAAAAAAATTCATTCTTGGGCGCCTGGGTGGCTCAGTCGGTTAAGCGACCGCCTTCGGCTCAGGTCATGATCCCAGGGTCCTGGGATCAAGTCCCACATCGGGCTCCCTGCTCTGCGGGGAGCCTGCTTCTCCCTCTCCCCCTCACCCTGCTGGTGTTCCCTCTCTCGCTGTGTCTCTCTCTGTCAAATAAATAAATAAAATCTTTTAAAAAAATTTCATTCTTTTGTATTTCTCATTTGTATACTCATAAAATTATGTAGGAAAATTTACACAATAAATTGTTTTTTTAAGATTTTATTTATTTATTTGTCAGAGAGAGAGAAAGAGAGCACAAGCAGGGGAGCGGCAGGCAGAGGCAGAGGGAGAAGCAGGCTCCCTGCTGAGCACGGAGCCCAATGTGGGACTCGATCCCAGGACCCTGGGATCATGACTTGAGCCGAAGGCAGACACTTAACCGACTGAGCCACCCAGGTGTCCCATAAATTTTTTAATTAAATAAAACCCCTCACATTATTTTCTAAAGCTTTCATTTATTCTTTTAGTCACTACTAAACGAATATATCCTTTGTGCCAGGTACTGAGCTGTTCCCCAACAGTAAACAGGACTGACATTGTAGCTCCCAGCTTAAATGTTAGGTCTAGTTTCCATTGGTAGCAATTATGGAGCCACAAGCTTGACATAAACCAGTAAGCTTGCATGGATAGATCAGAGTGAGAAACATATTTTCCCAGTGCTTTTTATTTTAACTCCTATCCAGTGAAGAACAAGTGGATGTGGAGCTCGTTCAACGTGGAGACATCATTAAAGTGGTTCCAGGAGGCAAATTTCCAGTGGATGGTCGTGTTATTGAAGGACATTCTATGGTAGATGAGTCCCTTATCACAGGTATGTTCTTTCAGAGGATCATGACATGAAAGTAAAGTGAATCCAAAGTGTTAATAAAAAACAGGAATAAAAGGTGGACAGCTTTTTGTAGAAACTATGGAATGACTAAATGATGAGTAAAGAGAATAAGAATTCTTTTTAAGACTTTAAATAAATTTCTGTAGATTTACTTTGTGTTTTTTCATTATGCTACTGAAAGCTTTTTTCACTGAGGATTGTTAATTACTAGAATGTGTAACCAAAGGCAGTTGTTTCATTCTGATGTAGAGCCCAAGAGACTTTGGCAGATTTTCCTGAGCAAATACCTATTTGTTTTCCTGCCCTAAAGACTGGTCTGGTCGGAGCTGGAGTATGACTCTGGGTTCTCCACATCAGGGTCTGCTCGAAGAAATTAGGCCTCGGAGTAGTGTTAGAGAGCTTAGATAACTAAGGCCAATCTGGAACAGAACCAAAAGAATACCTTTCCTGTCTGAACCCTCAGGATAGTCCCAGAAGAGGCTCAGTTTATGGACTATGAGGAAATAATTTCGGACTCTGTATTTCTCAATAGGGTGCTATTGCCAGTTCAGATGGGACAATTCTTCTGGGGGGACTGCATGCACATTGTAATACATTTAGTATCCCTGACCCTGGCCCACTAAATTGGAGTAGGAGCACCCCATGCTCCACCAGTAGTTATTATAAACAAGAACTCCCACATTTCTAAGTGCTCCTTGGGAACATATTGAGGACCAATGATCTAAGACTAGGGAGCAGCTTTAAAAGTGACACGCAAATTCGTGAAGCGTTCCATATTTAAAAAAAAAAGTTTCTGCGTATAAGAGCTGACTTAATAGATTGTTCTAGTTTAAGATATGTGTCCCTGGGGTTGGCCCAGAACTGACATAAGGAAAAAGGGAGGGCAACCTTCACCTAGGCATTTATCCAGATTCTATGAAGTAAGAATCTCCTTTCTACATATTTTTGACAGTTAATAAATAACAGCATGTTTCAAGATAGTATGTATTTATGCTCCCTAAATCTGTCTTTACTCCTTATACAGGGGAGGCAATGCCTGTGGCTAAGAAATCTGGCAGCACAGTAATCGCCGGTTCCATTAACCAGAATGGGTCACTACTTATCCGTGCAACCCATGTTGGAGCTGACACAACGCTTTCTCAAATTGTTAAACTTGTGGAAGAGGCACAAACATCAAAGGTAACTTAATTCCCTGGGAGAAACAGAAAGTATTTTTTTTAAAAGACTGCTCAGTGTGAATCTTGATCTAGTGTTTATGTTTTCCTTTAACTCCAGTTGCATTAATAGGGAGATTATTAAAATATTTGTATGCAGTACCAAATATACTCTGTATTCATTATCAAAAAAGGAGACTTTGATACATGTATTATTATTATTATTGTTATTATTAATATTCTAGGCTCCTATCCAGCAGTTTGCAGACAAACTCAGTGGCTACTTTGTTCCTTTTATTGTTATTGTTTCCATCGCTACCCTCTTGGTTTGGATTATAATTGGATTTCTGAATTTTGAAATTGTGGAGACCTACTTTCCTGTAAGTGACTTGTAACAACTCTTTACCATACATAAAACAGTTTGTGAATCTTTTGCATAAACTATTAATTGGAAAATAACTTTAATAATCACTAGTATCTTTATGGGCCTGGAATGGGAAAGTAATAAGAATAACATTTGCATTTCTATAAATATAAAAATTTCCTCCTGGAAAGATTTTTTTTTCATTATTTTTATTACTTTTTCATTATTTTCATTATGATTTTCCCAAAGCAAGTACTGAACTTTTATATTTTATACCCAGTCTCATTCTCAACATGACTCTGCTTTCTCAAAGGACTGTAGATAATATTGAGAAAAACCTTGGGGTCTCAGCTCTGCCATATACCATCAGTGTGATCTTAGGTCAAATTAATTTCTCTCTGAGCTTCAGTTTCCTCATTTGTAAAGTGAGATTCTAATAATACCCATCCTGCATAACTTGCAGTTGTTGTGAAAGTTAAATAAGATGATATATCAGAAACACTTTGTAATTTATTAAATGCTTTATAAATATAGGGTAATATTAGTGCCTGTTCCTCTGTAGTTCTATGATAGTCTCTAAAGTATGGTGTTGTAAAGTAGTAAAGTAGACCTGGATTGTGCCTCATATTATATAACCTTTAAGTCACTTCTGTTTTGTCACCTGTAATGTAGTGATAATAATACCTAAATTGCAAGATTGGAATTAGTGTAGGTGAAAACATGCACATATGACATATATTAAAGCATAAGCTTTCATGTCTATGAAAGTCCCTTCCAACTGTTTCTGTATAGATAAATACCTCTTAGGTGAACGCTTAGTTTAAGTATTTGAGAACTTTGTAAGAACCTAGCACCATAAAGTCATTACTACTAAGAAAGTCTTATTTTGTTGTATTTCTTTATTTTTAAAAATGCCACGCTGTACACTGTTCCATGTTGTTTGTCCCTTCAGTTAAAGAACAAGTAGAATCAGGAGAGTGAGGGTGAGATGTAGAGCCTTACTGGGGACCTGAAGAGACACTTGTCGCCAAGAAGAACATTTTGAAGATTTTGTTGTCTAGAAGAGGTGTCTCTGGGATCTCACTTCTATATATTTACTGAAGATCGGAAAAGAATTAAATTAGGGCCATGGGGACACAGAAGGTCACAGTACCTCTGATCTTTGCCATCTCCATTGATAAAATAGACTCTTTCCAGTTTGGCTCTTTCCAGTCATCAATGCTCCTGAGACAATCATAAAGGATTTTCTCAATTATTCATTGGAAGAGAAGTTAGAAGACTCCCCCACTCAGGTGCTACTCATTTCCCTTTGGTCCTTGTCTGTAGCCATCTTCTCCATTAGTGGTATGACTGGCTCCTTTTCCACTGGACTTTTTGTCAACAGCTTTGGCAGGTGCTTATTGTCAACCTATTGGCTGTTGCCGGTGGCTGCCCTATGGTTTTCCAAATTAGCGGAGTCTGTTGAAATGCTGATCCTGAGGGGCCCCTGGGTGGCTCAGTTGGTTAAGCGGCTGCCTTCGGCTCAGGTCATGATCTCGGGGTCCTGAGATCGAGCCCCACCTCGGTCTCCCTGCTTGGTGGGGAGTCTGCTTCTCCCTCTCCCTCTGCTGCTCCCCCTGCTTGTGCTCTCTTGCTCGTGTGCTCTCGTTCTCTCTCTCTCTCTCTCTCTCAAGTAAATGAATGGAATCTTGGAAAAAAAAAAAGAAATGCTGAACCTGGGCCAATAGATTATTGACCTCTTCTGCAGATACTGCACAGGTTTTGTGCCTATGTGCATTGGAGAGATATCTCCTACCTGCCCCATGGTGGCAGGTCGGGGGGCTTTGGCATTCCTAACCAGCTAGGCATTGTCAGGATTCTGGTGGCTTACATATTTGGTCGAAAGTCATCTTGGGGATTGAAGAGCTTTGGCCTCTGCTGTTGGACTTCACCATCATTCTAGCTGTCCTACAAAGTACAGCCCTTCCATTTTGCCCTAAAAGTCCTAGGTTCTTGGTCATTAACAGAAGGGAAGAGGAGAGTGCCAAGGAGATCTTCTAGTGATTGTGGGGTACCCAGGATGTGACTCAGATAGGACATCAGGGAGATGAAAAATGAGGGTGCTAGGATCGCACAAGAAAAGCAAGTCACCGTGCTGGAGCTCTTCAGTGTGCGCAGCTACTGACAGCATATCGTCGTTTCCACCATGCTCCAGCTCTCCCAGCAGCTCTCTGGAGTCAGTGCTGTGTTCTGTTACTGAATAGGAATCTTCAAAGATGCAGGTGTTGGGGAGCCATTGGTGTGGGTGTGGTGAATATTGTCTTCATGGTAGTTTCTCTGTTTTTGATGGAAAGGGCAGGGAGGAAGACTACATCTGACTGGTCTTGGACGGATGGTTTTTTGTTCCATTCTCATGACTGTTTTCATTGTTATTAAAGGACAAGTATAACTGAATGGGCTTTGTCTGTATTACAGCTGTCTTGGTCTTCATGCCCTTTTTTGAAATTGGTCCAGGCTCCATTCCCTGGTGTATTGTGGCTAAACTCTTTAGCCAGGGACCCCACCCAGCAGCAATGGCAGGGGCTGGTTTTTCCAACTGGACCTCCAACTTTTTTGGTTGGGCAGCTGCATTCTGTTTAGGAGCGTGCGTTTGTATTGTCTTCACTGGCTTCCTTGTTATCTTCTTGGTGTTTAGTCCCTGAGACCCATGGCAGGACTTTTGAGGAAATTACATAAGCCTTGGAATGGCAGGTGAAAGAGGCCGGTAGAGCTGACAAAGGCCCCATTGTGGAGATAAACAGCACCCTTCCCGTTAAGGAGGTCTAAGCCATGCTTCCTTCCTGTCTCCCTACCAACACGAAGAAGCAAACTCTCCCTGAATAAGAGAGAGAGAGATTGAGAGAGAGAGAGAGACCTCATCAGGTTGTAACCCAGGACTGTTTCTGAATGCTGCTACTTGATTCCTTTCTCTTCCCACACACTTCATGAGCACTCAGAGGAACCCAGTGCTGGAGTTAGTTTTATCTTCAGTGGATTTTTAAGCATTTTATTGCTTGGACATTCTCTTCTGTTTAGGAGAGACCAAGTGAACCTTCCTTAATTTCAAAAGGAATTGGCTGCTTGGCATATGACAGCTTTGCCAGCTTTTCCTCCCTCGGGTTCTATATTGCCTCACAAGGACATACAGGAGTGTTAAGAGTGAGGTTCAGTCTCCCCCACCCCAGACTTAACAGGAAGCAGATCTACATGAGTGTGGAGGGCAGAGAGGGATTAAATAAGAGCACCTTCCTTGCTTCTATACAGCTCTGCAGAAAAAATTAATTGGAGTTTTATTTATCTTCTGGTATTATTACATAAATATTTAGTTCTTTAAGTGTAAAGCAATTTTACCAAATAATGAGAACATAAGGAAATTGAGTGTAGAGGGAGGTGCTTAAAGAGAGGTTATAGGGTGGAAGATTTAATAGTGGAGAAGTCAAGGTGCAATAAGAAGGGAAGACTCTAGAAAGAAATGTAATATGTTATTGAAGCGTACATGATGTGGTGTGTGAGATTTGCCTCTTAACAATTCCTGTCCTTCAGGTGGAAACTCAAGTTTAACTTCTCAGTTAAAGTCATGTGCCTATATTAGGAAGCTACTGGTTTCCTTTGGAACTTTTTTCTTTGTTGAAGATTATATGTAGTATTACTTGAAATCTAGGATGATTACTAAAATAGGCATTGCAGTTAATGGTGGTTGATGGATTCTAATTTTGGATGGAGTCTAGAGAAGGGAAGATTAATTCTAGAAATCCTTTCTCCCTTCAGTGGACCAAAAAAGTTCTTGCCCATGTAGCGGACTCTTTTTTTTCTTTTTTTTTTTTTTTTCTTTTTTAAACTACTCCTAACCACCCATCCGGTGGGGGAGACCTCCAAATGAGCAACCCAATTTTGTTTTTTAGGAGATTTTAATTGTTGATTTTTATTTTTTTGAAAGTTTTAATTTTAATTCCAGCTAGTTAACATACAATGTTATATTAGTTTCAGGTATACAGTATAATGATTCAATAATTCCATACATCACCCAGTGCTCATCATGACAAGTCCACTCCTTAATCCCCATCACCTGTTTAACTCATCCCTCTATCCACCTCCCCTCTGGTAACTATCAGTTTATTCTCTATAGTTAAGAGTCTGTTTCTTGGCTTGTCCCACTCTCTCTAGCTTTTTTTCCCCTTTGTTTGTTTGTTTTGTTTCTTAAATTCTACATATAAGTGAAATCATATGGTATTTGTCTTTCTCTGACTGACTTATTTTGCTTAGCTATAATGCTAGCTGTCTAGCTCCATCCATGCGGTTACAAATGGGAAGATTTTATTCTTTTTGATGGCTGAGTAATATTCCATTGTAAATATATACCACATCTTCTTAATCATTCATCAGTTGATGGACAGTTGGCTTGCTTCCATATCTTGGCTATTATAAATAATGCTGCCATAAACATAGGGGTGCATGTATCCATTTGAATTAGTGTTTTTGTATTCTTCGGATAAATACCCAGTAGTGCAATTGCTGGGCCGTAGGGTAGTTCTGTTTTTAATTTTTTGAGGGATCTCCATACTGTTTTCCAGAGTGGCTGCACCAGTTCCCACCAATGGTGTAAGAGGGGTTTTCTCCACATACTCACCAACACCCGTATTTTTCTTGTGTTGTTGATTTTAGCCATTCTGACAGGTATGAGGTTGTATCTCATTGTGGTTTTGATTTGCATTTCCCTGATAATGAGTGATGTTGAGCATCTTTTCATGTGTTTGTTGGCCATCTGTATGTCTTCTTTGGAGAAATATCTATTCCTGTCTTCTGCCCATTTCTTGACTGGATTTTTTGTTGTTTTTTTTTTGGGGGGGGGTGTTGAGTTTGGTAAATTCTTTATAGATTTTGGATACTAACCCCTTACCAGAATATGTTGTTTGCAAATATCTTCTCCCATTCTGTCGGTTGCCTTTTAGTTTTGTTGACTGTTCCCTTTGCTGTGCAGAAGCTTTTTATCTTGATGAAGTCCCAATAGTTCATTTTTGCCCTTGTCTCCGGAGACGTGTCTAGTAAGAAGTTGCAACGGTCTGGGTCAAAGAGGTTGCTGCCTGTGTTGTGCTCTAGGATATTGATGGTTTCCTGTGTCAGTTTTAGGTCTTTCATCCATTTTGAGTTTATTTATTTTTTTATATGGTGTAAGAAAGTGGTCCAGTTTCCTCATTTTGCATGTCGCTGTCCAGTTTTCCCAACACCGTTTGTTGAAGAGACTTTTTCCCACTGGATATTCTTTCCTGCTTTGTTGAAGATTGATTGACCATATAATTGTGGGTTTATTTCTGGGTTTTCTATTCTGTTCTCTTGGTTTATGTATCTATTTTTGTGCCACTACTATACTGTTTTCATTCCTACAGCTTTGTAATATAACTTGAAGCCTGGAATTACGACGCCTACAGCTTTATTTTGCTTTTTCAAGATTGCTTTGGCTGTTCGGGGTCTTTTGTGGTTCCATATAAATTTTAGGATTGTTTGATCTAGTTCTGTGAAAAATGCTGTTGGTATTTTGATAGGTATTACATTAAATTTGTAGATTGCTTTGGGTAATATAGACTTTTTTTTACAGATTTATTTATTTTAGAGGGAGAGAGTGAGCACCAGCAGGGGGAGGGGCAGAGGAAGAGGGAGAAAATCCTCAAGCAGACTCCCTGCTGAGCATGGAGCCTAGGACCCTGAGATCACAACCTGAGCTGAAATCAAGAGTCAGCCACCCAACCAGCTGAGCCACCCAGGTGTCCTGGGTAGTATAAACATTTTAATAATATGTGTTTAATAATAGGTGTTCTTCTAATCCATGAGCATGGAATATTTTTCCATTTCTTTGTGTCATCTTCAATTTCTTTCATCGGTGTTTTAGTTTTCAGAGTACAGGTCTTTCACCTCTTTGGTTAGGTTTATTCCTAGGGATATTATTATTTTGGTGAAATTGTAAGTGGGATTATTTTCTTAATTTCTCTTTCTGCTGCTTCATTATTGGTGTGTAGAAATGCAACAGAGTTCTGTAGATTGATTTTATATCCTGCTACTTCAGTGAATTTGTTTATCAGTTCTAGCAGTTGTTTGGTGGAGTCTTTCAGGTTTTCTATATAACTTTCAGATAGTGAAAGTTTTACTTCTTCCTTACCGATTTGGATGCCTTTTATTTCTTTTTGTTGTCTGACTGCTGTGGCTAGGACTTCTAGTACTGTGTTGAATAAAAATGGTTAGAGTGGATAACCTTGTCCTGTTCCTGATTTTAGGGAAGAGCTCTCCGTTTTTCTCTATTAAGGATGATGTTAGCTGTGGGTTTTTCATAAATGGCCTTTATTATGTCGAGGTATATTCTCTCTAACCCTACTTGTTGAGTGTTTTTATCACGAATGGATGTTGTACTTTGTCAAATGCTTTTTCTGCATCTATTGAAATGATGGTATGATTCTTATTCTTTCTCTTATTGATGTGGATTTTTATTTTGTTGTAAGCCATAGCTTTAAAAGAATTCAGAGGAGAATGTTCATAGCTAACTTTGAATTTGTAACCTCAGCTCTGGGAGAGGATTTTTCCTGAACGATTATTATCTTGTTGATGTATGTTGTTGCTTTGGCATCATCATATGCTTTTTCATCTGTTATCATGTCAACTTACCCTTGTTACCATGTTTCCATTGTATTAGGTCAAGTGCCCTTAGGGGCCCATACATTTGAGATAGTGTGAGTAGATGTGCAGTGTAGCCCACACTTGAGAGAGTATGAATGTATATGTACTGTCACTTTGCTCTAGTTGGAAGTAGTTTATTGGTAGCTTGTTTCCTCTGTGTTCCTACAACCCCCTTTTGGATAGAATCTGTTAAACATCTCTCTGTGTATAAATGACACTGCCTCTGCTCTGTGGAATTTGTGTCTATGGCTTTTTTCCAAACTTTAGTGTTCTGTCCCATGTGGCTACCTTTCCTTGTTGGAGAGTTGGGGGAGAACTCCTTAAATCTTGAGATTGAGGGTGGAGGACTCTGTCTTGCTCTAGACCCAGACAATGGAAATAGTTAAGAAGAGTGTGAGATCAGGACATGTGGCCTCTTGGAGGCACTGGAGGGGAATTGTGGGGGAGAGGGGGGTTTTCTTTTAAGGGGATAAAAAACGAAGACTTCTAACTCTGGAACATTTCAGGGAGTTAGATGAGATGGAGGGATTTATGCTTGCCACAGGTCACGGACACCTCCACAGATCATCTAGTTTCCTAGTATTTTTATAAATGGAAATTGGGCCCCATGACAGTTACTGCCTTTTCCCCTTTTCATATGTTGCTTGATCTCCCTTTCTCTCCTTTGTGCTTACACATTCCTGGCCCTTTAGCCAAACCCTTGCCTATGACAGTATTTTAGTTACCAGTTCTCATGGTTCCCTCTGGTTGTTGAGCCTTGGGATAAAAACTCACAGAGCTATGGAATGGGACTTTGTTGGAACAGGTGACTTCTTCTAATTGCACCTGTGCTTCTGGGTCCTCAAAAACAGTGGGTTGGCAGTAATGCAGTGTGGAAGTTTTCCCATTTCTCAGTGACCAGATTGTGAATGTTTCCAAGTGGATTTTTCTGTTATAATGTTACTGTGGTTCTTTGTTTTGAAATAAAAATTCTGAATGTAAAAAAAAAAATAGAACAGGTAGAATCAAAAAACTATGTATCTACTTCATGATATATGGTCATTAGTATAATATAAAAACTTTTTAAAAGATAGAGAGAGCACAAGCAGGGGGAGCAGCAGGCAGAGGGAGAGGGAGAAGCAGGCTCCCCACTGAACAGAGAGCCCGATGCGGGGCTCGATCCCAGGACCCTGGGATCATGACCTGAGCCGAAGGCAGCTGCTTAACCGACTGAGCCACCCAGGCACCCCTAAAAATTTTTTTAAGTGATTCACATTGGCTAATTACACATTGAACAAGAAGATTGCTGAGAAGTATTTTGGAATGTGTATCCCTTAGGGATTTTTCTCATGAGTTCAGGGAGTGCTTAGGAGATTTCCCCTAATACTGTCGGTTGTATTTACTCACACAGCAAATATTCAATGTCACTAAGAGCTGTATACTACCTGATATACTCAGTTCACACTGTTATGTTCAAAAGAATTTTACTGAAATAGGAGTAAGCTTCCTTTGCATGCTGGGTGATTTTTCCATTGTCTTTAAAGTATAGTGTGAAAGGCAGATTTATGGTCCTAGTATACAGAGATTCAAAATTCTTTTTCTTCAGGATCAGATTTGCTGAGAATTAGGTCCCATATTTGCAGCTATTTTTGAAAATCCCTAGTAAAAGCACTCATTCTCAATATAGAGGTAAAAAGCTGACTTTCATGTTCTTTAGATGAACTGCATAGTTTGTAACTCTGGAATCCGCAAAATTGAATTCCTAATTTTAGGACTATGACTTGTTTACCAGTAATGTCGCAATTTCTTATATTCATACAAGAAGAAAAAAGGTGTTTTTTTTTTACTAGTAACCAAATTGTATACATTGGCAGCTAAGTAGGATTATGTGTGACTTGAAAAATGTGGTTTTATTTAAATAGAGTTAAGCTTTGTTCCTTTTGTTTTATACAGCTCTAGATCAATAACCAAAATTCATGCCTTTCTCCTAAAGGGATATAACAGAAGTATCTCCCGAACAGAAACGATAATACGCTTTGCTTTCCAAGCCTCTATCACAGTTCTGTGCATTGCATGCCCCTGTTCACTGGGACTAGCCACTCCGACTGCTGTGATGGTGGGTACAGGAGTAGGCGCTCAAAATGGCATACTAATCAAAGGTGGCGAGCCATTGGAGATGGCTCATAAGGTAAGATAGTTCCCAGAACTAAGAATTGTCCCATCCAAACTGGCAATAGCACCCCTATTGAGAAAGAGAATCCAGAGTTATTTCTACATGGTCCATAAGCCGAGCTTCTTCTGGGACTATCCTGAGGGTTGAGGTAGGAAGGGTGTTATTTTGGTTCCGTTCTGGATTGGTCTTAGTTATCTAAGATCTCTAAAACTACTCCAGGCCTACTTTCTCAGAGCAGACCCTAATGTGGAAAAAGTGGAGTCCTCTTCCAGTTTAGATTAGAAATGTCTTCAGGTCAGGAAGACAGAAGGGGTATTTGCCCAGGAAAAATGTGACCCCATGTTTGTATTCTTCACCGTGAGATGGTGCTTATAGTAACATTGCAGTTTCTTTGCCTTTCCCACTAGCTGACAGTTTGCAGCTATGACTTCAAAAATATAATCTTATCCCTCATCTCTCTCATATTAGGATTTCCAAAACAATTTCAATCAAGGCTACTTGACTTCAACTAAAACCATGTTCCTTCTAATATGTTCTTATTGTGAGGATAATAAACTATATACAGATGCATGTAGTAAACACAGAACACAGCTTAGAACAGATTTGGAACCTCATATAACCAGTGAATACAAGCTGTTAGTGGCTATAGTAATTTTTTATTGACTTTGATATAATTTCAAACTTAAGAATTGAAAGAACAGCATAAAGAACTCCTGTATATCCTTTACTGCAGATATCAGGTTCCTTTCCTAAGAACAAGGACATTCTCTTACATAATCATAGTACAGAGATCAAAATCAAGAAATTGACATTGCTGTAATACTGTTATCTAACCATGAGTCCATATTCCAGTTTCCTCAGTTGTTTCCATAGTACTCTTTATAGCTATTTTTTCTCTTGTTCAGAATTATGCTTTGTATTTCATTATTATATCTCTTTTCATCTTGGTTCCTCAAGCTATTCATTTTTCAAGGTTTGTATTCCAATTTTACTGTGGGGTGACTGTGTTCTCTAAGTCCAGATTCTTCCTTTTTCCTGTCTGGGCTCAATTTCCCTCATGGGTTCACTGAGCTGTCTCTTCTCAGGCCAAGCTTCTCATCTAGACCCAATAAAGTCAAAGCAAACCAGTGCTTATCTGGTGCTCACTTCAACTTAATTACTTACCTTTCTCTTATAATCATATGCCTACTGCCCAGATTTCCACTACAGTTCTGGAATTCATTAGTATTGAAAGCTTTTCTCTTTCCCTGAGGCAGAGTCAATTCTTAAGTACTTATTAACAGTCAACTATTAACAATTAGCTCTAGTTGTTTAACATATATTCACAGTATGGTTGAACATTTGCAAGGGAGGGCTATTAGATGTAACTTAGAGTATCTTTTCCCTTATTCTCCCTTACTTTTGCTCACTCAAAGACAGTTCAACTCCAATTAAGTCAAAGGTCAATTTATTAAGAAACAAAATATTCATCTGTCAAAGTAAACCTATTTCTTATTTTTGGAAAGGTAGTATTAAGGACTATCAAGTCATATAGGTGCAGTGTATTTTAATTTTCTTACAGGTGAAGGTAGTGGTGTTTGATAAGACTGGAACCATTACCCATGGAACCCCAGTAGTGAACCAAGTAAAGGTTCTAGTGGAAAGTAACAGAATATCACGCAGTAAGATCCTGGCCATCGTGGGAACTGCTGAAAGTAACAGTGAACACCCTCTAGGAGCAGCCATAACCAAGTACTGCAAGCAGGTACAATTTTTCCTTTGTTTATTAATGTAGTTGTCCTCTACAGGAATTACACAGACCAAATCCAAACTGGCGTTTGTGATTTACATATATAGTTGGTAGGAGGCTCGGGAGACTTGTATTTTCTCAATTTATTTTAGAATATGTGTTAGTTTCTTTATACAGAAGAGTATAAAGATGAAAGCAGAAATTAACTATAATTTTATCACACGGATAACCCCTGTTGACTAAAAAATTAAAACGTAATGCATACAGAGAGTTACATAATGAAAAAGGAAAGCCTCATTCCCTGCCCCCTTTCATAATTCCTCTCTCTAGAGTTTAACAAGTGTTAATCTGTTAGCAGTCTTTTAAAATACAGTAGTCTCTCCTTATCTGCAGGGGATATGTTCCAAGACCCAAGTGGATGCTTGAAACTGCAGAGTACTGAACCCTATATATACTATGTTTTCTCCTATACATACATACCTATGATAAAGTTTAATTTATAAATTAGTCAAGAGATTATAATGTATGTTATATTTTATTAATACTAATTTAAAATATCACAAATTATATTATTAAAATTAATTAATTTAAATATCAATGTAAATTAATTTACAAATTAATTTATAAATTAGTAAGATATTAACAACAATAACTATTAATAATATAGAATAATTATAACAATATACTGTAATAAAAGTTATGTGACTATGGTCTTTCTCTCTCTCTCAAAATTCCTTATTGTACTGTACTCACCCTTCTTGTGATGATGTGAGATGGTAAAATGCCTGTGTGATGAGATGAAATGAGATGAATGATGTAGGCATTGTGACTTGGTGCTAGGCTACAGTCAACCTTCTGACACTATGTCAGAAAGAGGATCATCTGCTTCCAGACCACAGTTGACCACGAGTAACTGAAACCAAGGAAAGTGAAACCGTGGATGGGGGAGGGAGGACTACTGTAACAGCTTTACTGAGATACAATTCACATACTCTAAAGTTCATTATAAATTGTACAATTCAGTCATTTTTAGTATAGTCCCAAAAGTGTGCATTTGTTAACTATTTTAAATACATATCTGAACATATATGCATTTATTACGTTTTAGACTTCATGTAGAAAGGTCACACAGTGACCAATCTTTGGTACCTTTTTTTTTTATTTTATTGAATGATTTTTCCATATTAAGACATATAGATCTGCCTCATTATATTTAATGGCTATATTGTGTTCTACTGTATGATTGTTTTTTTTTTTGTCTCTTAGAGTGTACGGTTAATGTTCTTGTCAGCTTTTGCAAGTTTATATTTATGTTAAATGCCTATCAATGCGATTGCTAGATCAAAGGATACATGCAGTTAAATTCTGATGAATATTACCAATGCCCACATAGCAAATATTACCAATACCCATGTGAAGGGTTGTACCAGTTTATACTTTCACCAAAAGTTATTAGTGCTCATTTCCCCACATTCTTACTTTATTTTTTCCAATTTAATAAATAAAAAAATATTTACTCATTGATGATTTGCTTTGCATTTCCATAATTATAAATTGGGTTAAACATCTTTTCATTGGCCATTTGAATTTCTTTTTCTGTAACTTTTCTGCTTGTATCCTTTGCCTGTTTTTTTCATAGGATTGTTTACCTTTTTTTTTCACTGATTTGTGTAAGTTCTTTGTAAATTATCTCATAATTTTACAGTTATGATGTGGCAATTCCTATCATTGGTGTTCTTTCCTTTTTACCAATTTACTATTTTATTGACCTGGCTTCTTTACACCCAAACCAAACAACAGAGAGGATGAAGATATAAAGAGCCAGGAAACAATGATGGCCACCAAAATTCTTTGGCTTACTAAGGACACAGAATCATACTAGAGAGGCACTCTGGTAACTAAAGGCCCTGTTCTTTGTTACCCTTTGCCCTGTACTGAATAGAAAATCTGACTTGACAGTAGAATTAAATATTTAACTTGTAATTCTCTACTGGAAAGGGCAGAGAATACTGGTAAAGCTTCCATGTTTTCTTTCTCTAAACTTGGTATAAATTTTAGAGAGTGCGATTAAAATAAACAATTCTGATGTTTTGTTCTAAACATTTAGAATTAACCGGGCATGCAGCATGTGTCTAAACATTTAGAATTAACCAGCAGTAATCCTTGATTGTGCTGTTGATGACCTTGGATTGTTAGAACAGCAGAAGAAATCCTTCTGTTTCTATTTGTTAGGAGCTGGACACTGAAACCTTGGGTACCTGCGTAGATTTCCAGGTTGTGCCAGGCTGTGGTATTAGCTGTAAAGTCATCAATATTGAAGGCTTGCTACATAAGAATAACTGGAAGATAGAGGAAAATAATATTAAAAATGCATCCCTGGTTCAAATTGGTGCAAGTAATGAACAGTCATCAACTTCATCTTCCATGATTATTGATGCCCAGCTCTCAAGTAAGCTAATTTTCTTCATAGTACCAATTATGGGACAAATATTAACAGATGTCTACCTTTATAATCCTGAACTGTTAGATAGGAAACAAAAATTGGCATCATGGTTTCATTCTGTCAAATAATTTTACCATAGGCCTTCTGGTCACTTCACTTGAGTTACTCAAGAACATTTCCCAACTGTGCTGCTCCTTGATTCTACCATAGGGTGCTGAATTCTAGTCGTAGCTGATCTTCCATATTAGTTCAGCTATCTTTCTTTTATTTCTTACCACAGCTACTCTAAACCTTTTATATCTTTTACGAGATACCGTGGCCTTCTCCCTTGTTCCCTAAGCAAGTTATCAGGTTTATTTTTCACATGGAAAATTAAGGTTCTCAGACATTTGGTCTGTCAACTTTTTGCCAAGCATGATTCCTTTTTCAGGAGAAGAGGTATCCCTCATCCTGCATAATGAATCCCATCATCTTTGCTCTAGATCCCACCCTCTCTTGATTCTTCAGGGACCTTACTCTGTTACATCCCCTCGCTTCTTTATTTTCCCACTCTCTTTACTAGCTCCTTCTGCTAAACATACAAACATTTCTTCCATCACTATCACTGTAATCCCTTTTAGACTGTATCCTGTCTCTTTTTTTCCTTTATATCTAAGCTTCTAGAAAGAGTAGTCTAGGTTTGCTGAATTCACTTATTCACCACACAGCCTGGCTTCTGCCCCATCCATATTACTGAAACTGTTTTTTCTAAGTGCATTGATGACCTTGTTCAGTACTCACTCCAGTGGTTTCTTCTCAGTCTGCATCCTGCATGACCTCAAATGCCCAAGGCATTTGAGAATGTTGACCATTTCTTCCTTCCTAAAGCTCTTTCTTTTAATTTCATGACCATTCATTCTCTAAATTATCCTCTTACCTACCTGGCTGTTGCTTCCAATCCTCCTCTGATTCCTCTTTTCTCCTGCTCTCAAATGTTGGGTATCCCCAGGGTTTTGTTCTTTGTCTTTTTCTCATTTTATATACTCTCTGTACAATTTCCTTCATGTCTATTGCTTGTTCTGCCATCTGTAGGCTTCTACTGGCACTCCAAAATCCACATCTCTAGCCAAGGCCTGTTTTCTGAGTTTCTGGTTTGTCTATCCATCTGCCCCAAAACATAATATACCCACCTAAGTGTTCTAGCACCTCCCTACCCATTTGTGCTTGAGTGATTTTGCTAACCTGCAAATATGATTATATAACTGTCTGACTAGTACCTTTTATTATAGTGGTTTATAATTTATTTTTGAATCATGAACCTTTGGAGGAATGTGATAAAAGTTATGCCCACCCCTCAGAAAATTTTTGTTTTGGAGGTTTGCTTGTATCCTAAACCCTATCAGTTCGATTCTGTTAGGGATCCTGGCTTGCTGGCTGTCTCCTGTGGGACTTAAGACCAGTCTCTCTAGACTTTGTTCCAGGTCCGTTCCCCATGATATGTCTCCTGCCTGCCTACATCACCCATTTTGTCTTTTTCCACTGACCTCCATGTACTCTGTGTTCCATTCATATGGAACTACTTACAGTTCCTTTTTACATTGTGTTGTTTCATGCTTATTAGATCATTTCATTCACTGTTTCCTCTGGGTAATGTTGTCTACAGTGGCATCTACCTCATGAACTTATTTTCATTTTTCAAAAGTCAGCTCACATATCTCTTCAGTGAAGCCTTTGCTGACTGACATGTATAGGCAGAGATATTTGCTCTTCTTTTTAAATCATAACTGTACTTAATCTCTGTGTTTTTGTGCTAGGTACACTGCATGATAATACTTTATTTACCTGATTCTACCAACAATTTATTATTTGTGAACTTCCAGTACCAAGCACTGACACATAGTAATTTTGTTCATTTGACACCTTTTATTAAGCACTGTTCAAGACCCTAAAGAATCAACAGCAGAATAGACAAAGTCACTATCTTTTGGAACTTATTTTCCTGGTGGGAGAACACAAAACAGTGAGCAAAGAGATAAGAAAATATAATATGTCTGATGGAGATAGTGCTGTAGAGGAAAATAAAGAAGGGTAGAGGGGTATAGGGAATGCTGTGAGTATTGGGTCCTATTTTACATAGGATGATCAGGGTAGTCCTCAGGTTCAAAAACCTGAGAAGGGGGAGGGAGAAAGCTATGTGAATATCTGTGACAAGAGCATTCCAGGTAGGAGGGATGTTAAGTACCCAAGCCTAGTTTGAGGAACAACAAGGAGAACAGTGTGCCTGGAGCAGAGTAAATGAGTGGGAAGGGGGTAAGAGATAAGGTTAGAGAGTAGTACAGGACTAGATTATGTAAGGACATTGAAAGAATTTTGGCTTTTACCCTTGAGATGGGAAGCCATTGGAGAGTTTTGTGCATAGGAGTGACAGAATCCAACTTAATGTTTTATAAGTATTACCCTGGCTGCTGTGATAAAAATACACTCTTGGAGCAATAGGGGGAAGGACAGAAGCAGGGAGATGAGTTAGTAGGCTGTTGCCATAATCCAGGTGAAAGATAAGAATGGTTTGGACCAATGTGGTAGCAGTAGAGATCATAAGAAGTGGTCAGAATCTGAATGTGTTTTGAAGGGAGAGCTGGCTGACAAATTTTCTCACAGATTGGATGTGGGGTATGGGAGAAACAGGAGTCAAGAATTATGCCAAGGTTTGTGGCCTAAACATTTTAGGAGGATGAAGTTACCATTTAAGTAGAATGGGGAAGACCATTGGAAGGGCAATATTGAGGAGAACTGATCAGGAGATCAGTTTTTTACATGTTAAATTTGAGTGCCTATTAGATAGTCAAGTGCCATATAAGTGGAAATAACAAGTAGGCAGTTGGCTGCACAAGTCTGCAGTTCAAGGAAACAGAGTAGGTTGGAGACATAGATTTGGTAGTCGTCCACCTATAGATCTGGGCCTTCCAGTATGATAGCCATTCATTACATGTGACTACTTAAACTTAAATTATTTAAATTTAATTTAAAATTCAGGGGCACCTGGCTGGCTCAGTCGGAAGAGCATGTGACTCTTGATCTTGGGGTCATGAGTTTGAGCCCCACGTTGGGTGTAGAGATTACTTAAAAGAAATACATAAGTAAACTTAAAAAAAATAAATTTAATTTAAAGTTCAGCCCTTCAGCCATACTAGCCACATTTCACTGCTCTATAGCCACATGTTGCTAGTGGCTACTGTATTAAACCGCAGATACAGAACATTTCCAAATCTTGTTGGACAAAGCTGGTATAGATTGTATTTAAAGATATGAGACTGGATAAGATCACCAAGGAGTGAGAGTAGATGGGGGGGGGGAATGGTTTAAGGATTGAGCCCTACAATACGATAAGTTAAGAGATCAGGGAGATCAGCAAAGAAGACTGAGAAGAAGTGGTAAGTGAAGAGGTAACTCATAAGAATTTGGTGTCCTAGAAGCCAAGGAAAGAAAGTATTTCAAGAAGGAGAGAGCGATCAACTGTGTTAAATGCTGCTAATAAGGCAAGTAAGATGAGGAACAATAATTAGCCATTAGGTTTATGAAAGTAAAGGTCACTGGCATACTGTGTGAACAACTCTTTGGAGTAGTAGAGACAAAAGCTTTATTGGAGTGGGTTCACAAAAGAATTTGGGAAGATATGAATTGGAGATAGTCAATAGAGACAACACTTCCAAGAAGTTTTGCTGTGTATAGAAACAGAAATTTGGGGCAGTAGTAAAGAGTTAAGTGAGATCAAGAGAGGTTTTTTTGTTTTGTTTTGTTTTGTTTTTAAAGATAGGACTATGTGCAACAGAGATAGAAAATGTGATTATGCAGGAGAAAGAGGAGAGAATTGTAGGAGAGATGTTCTAGAATAAGCAAAGGAAGGGGGTCTAGTACGTAAGTGGAGAGGTTGGTCTTAAATAGGAGCAGGGGCCGTTTAGAATAGAAGAGAAGCTAGATTGGTGTGTACGTAGGCACAGGCAGCTGGTTAGCTGTGGCAGTGAGAGCTTGAAGTTCTCTTCTGATTGCTTTTAATTCTTTCTGAAGTAGGAAGCAGATTCATCATCTGGCCATAGATGAGGGTGGGAGAAGAGAAGGTACAAAATAGCCCTCTAGAAGGAACGGAAAATGAATGGACTGGGGAAGTGTAGAATTGCCAGACAACTCTAAGGACTTGCGTAAAGTTAGTGGTCACATGTTTAAAATGAGTCATCAGTGGAGGCACCTGGGTCGCTCAGTCAGTTAAGCGGCTGCTTTCAGCTCAGGTCATGATCCCAGGGTCCTGGGATTGAGCCCCGTGTTGGGCTCCCTGCTCAGTGGGGAACCTGCTTCTGCCCCTCTCCCCTGCTCATGCTCACTCTCAGTCTCTCTCTGTCTTTTTTTTTTTTTTTAAGATTTTATTTATTTATTTGAGAGAGAGAGAATGAGACACAGAGAGCATGAGAGGGAGGAGGGTCAGAGGGAGAAGCAGACTCCCTGCCAAGCAGGGAGCCCGATGCGGGACTCGATCCTGGGACTCCAGGATCATGACCTGAGCCGAAGGCAGTCACTTAACCAACTGAGCCACCCAGGCGCCCCTGGTCTCTCTCTGTCTTAAATAAATAAAAAAAAAATAAAAAATAAAATGAGACATCAGTATAGTTGTATGTTTCCATCCAACTACTACTACTACAATCAGCTACTGATGCACAATAAATATTTTGGATTTAATTCATTTGTGTGGAAGATCAAAGGGAAAGCTTCACCAAGAAAGAAGCATTTGAACTGGCTCTTGAAGAATATGATGGAGTTTGATAACTGGAGAGGAGGGGTAAGGACATTCCAGGTGGAGACAGCAACATGTGCAAAGGCCCAAAAGCATAGAAGAGCAAAGTATGTTCCTTGAAAATTTGGAAATCACTGTTGTAGGCTGTGGTCTACCAAAAATACAACATAGTGACTGTGTAAGGTTAGACAGGAAGAACATACCTCACAGGGTTGTTATAAATATTAAACGATCTCACTAAATGTTCTTTCTGTACTTTATTTCAGATGCTCTTAATGCCCAGCAGTACAAAGTCCTCATTGGTAACCGGGAGTGGATGACTAGAAATGGTCTTGTTATTAACAATGATGTAGATGATTCCATGACTGAACATGAAAAAAAAGGTCGGACTGCTGTATTGGTGGCAGTTGATGGTAAGGTTTTCCATAAGTACACTGTGACTCAATGTTGTGATCTCAGTAATTATTTTATGTATATTTTTGAGAGACTTCTGAACTTGAGGGCTTTTGAAAAGCAGCCTGAATGCAAAGTGAAAATGTTAGCAATACCTAATTGTTACTGATTAATTTAGAATTCTCTTGCATTTGCCTGGCTTTGTTATTTTCCTCCCTAACCTATGTTTTTGTAAAAAAGCTAATCAATAGTTGCGTATAACACCCAGTGCTCATCACCACACATGCTCTCCCTAATACCCATCACCCGGTGTTATAAGCAACTAATGAATCGTTGAACACTACATCAAAAACTAATGATGTACTCTATGCTGGCTAATTGAACATAATAATAATAAAAATAAATAAAAAGTAAAAAGTAAAAATAAATAAAATAAATAAATAAAATTTTGTTTTTAGTGATTGCCTCTCCCCCCAAAATAAAAAAGCTAATCAAAGATTTTTTTAAAACCTAAAAATAACATAACATTAAAGTAATAACAAATAAAAGAATATCTATAATCTCATCATCCTAACTCAATGTCAGTTTTAATTGCATGTATTCCATTTCTGGTTTTTTTTGTATATATATGCTATATACAATATAATATATGTACAGAATTATAATACTAGTATATATACTCTTTTTAAGTGGGTGTATTCTGCATATAAATTTTACCTCAATAAAGTTGAATAAAAATTTAAAATCCCTTATACACCTATTATATTTTGCTTTATTCCTTTATTTGCTATACTCATAAATATTTTCTAATTTTAATTCTGCATAATTTATTATATATTGTAACTAAGGTAATAATTCCCTTGTTGGAAATTTAAACTATTCTTAATATTTCATTATTATAAATAACACTATGATAAACATCTATGAGGTTTTAGGTGCTTTCTTTTGTTAAATTATTTCTTGGGTAAATTTCTAGCTGTGAGATTAATTAGTCAACATTTATAATGCTTGCTAAGCATGAAGGCAGTATCTTAACTATGACATTTTTAGGTTCAGGAAGAAGCAGAACATACCATTTACTTTTGTTTTTATTTTTTAATTTTTTTTAATTATTAAAATATTTTATTTATTTATTTGACACAGAGAGACACAGCGAGAGAGGGAACACAGCAGGGGGAGTAGGAGAGGGAGAAGCAGGCTTCCCGCCGAGCAGGGAGCCCGATGCGGGGCTTGATCCCAGGACCCTGGGATCATGACCTGAGCCGAAGGCAGGCGCTTAACTGCCTGAGCCACCCAGGTGCCCCTTACTCTTGTTTTTAAAATAAAATAACTACTTGCAGTGATTTCTTTCCCCAGTATAAAATGCCAGTTTTCAAAAATTGACAAGAAACGTTGGAGAGGTTGTGGAGAAAGGGGAACCCTCTTACACTGTTGGTGGGAATGCAAGTTGGTACAGCCACTTTGGAAAACAGTGTGGAGGTGCCTCAAAAAATTAAAAATAGAGCTACCCTCTGACCCAGCAATTGCACTACTGGGTATTTACCCCAAAGACACAGATGTAGTGAAAAGAAGGGCCATATGCACCCCAATGTTCATAGCAACAATGTCCGCAATAGCCAAACCATGGAAAGAGCCAAGATGCCCTTCAGCAGACAAATGGATAAAGATGTGGTCCAGATATACAATGGAATACTACTCAGCCATCAGAAAGGATGAATACCCAACTTTTACATCAACATGGATGGGACTGGAGGAGATTATGCTAAGTGAAATAAGTCAAGCAGAGAAAGTCAATTATCATATGGTTTCACTTATTTGTGGAACATAAGGAATAGCATGGAGGACATTAGGAGAAGGAAGGGAAAAATGAAGGGGGGAATCAGAGGGGGAGACGAACCATGAGAGACCGTGGACTCCGAGAAACAATCTGAGGGTTTCAGAGGGGACGGGGGTGTGGGGATGGGTTAGCCCAGTGGTGGGTATTAAGTAGGGCATGTATTGCATGGAGCACTGGGTGTTATACAAAAACAATGAATCATGGAACACTACATCAAAAACTAACGATGTACTGTATGGGGACTAACATAACAATAAAATAAAATTAAATTTAAAAAAATTAAAAAATAAAAATTAAAAAAATAAATGCCAGGGGCGCCTGGGTGGCTCAGCCGTTAAGCGTCTGCCTTTGGCTCAGGTCACGATCCCAGAGTCCTGGGATCGAGCCCCGCATTGGGCTCCCTGCTTGGTGGGAAGCCTGCTTCTCCCTCTCCCACTCCCCCTGCTTGTGTTCCCTCTCTCGCTGTGTCTCTCTCTGTCAAATTAAAAAAAAAAAAAAATCTTTAAAAAATAAAAATAAAAATAAATGCCAGTTTGGCCTCAATCCACCCCCTTCACCTTAAAAAGAAAAAAAGGTATTAGTTTTCAGTTTCATTTGCCTTTAAATGAACTAAAGTGTTTGGAACTATTGACCAATACTTCTCAAAGGAAAAAAAAAGAGTCTTTTAGTATCCAATAAGATCTCTCTTTCAACTTTCCAATTACTACTTTCATTAGTAACCCCTACCTCACTCTGAAATTTTCATAACTCAATATGGAGGTTTGTCACAGATTTTGTGGAATACAGCCTATGTGGGCTTGGAGACATTTTGAATTAAGCTTAAGCCCTGAACAGCTTTGCTTAACAAAATTAATTTCCTTCTCCAGTTTTAAGTTAGAGTATTATTCCTGCTCTCAGCATATTCCAAACTCTCTTATTTTCTGATACCTCCTATATTAGATGAGCTGTGTGGCTTGATAGCCATCGCTGACACAGTGAAGCCTGAAGCAGAATTGGCTGTCCACATTTTGAAATCTATGGGCTTAGAAGTAGTTCTAATGACTGGAGACAACAGTAAAACAGCTCGATCTATTGCTTCTCAGGTAATTGGTTTACTTAGTGGTTGGGGTGGGGGGTATGTGGTGACTTCTAATTCCTCATATACATTTTGCTTCTTGCTTTCAAGTGCTAAAGATTCATATTACCTATTATTTTCCTTATCACGGAGTATCGATACCTGGTTCTTTAAAGAACAGTTGGCGTGCTATGTTGGAAGGAGTTTGGACTTTGTGTTACTCTTATAACTAAAAAAACCATTTACTTAATTCATGAAATGCTTCAGTGACACCCTACACTAGTTTCTGTTGATACTTCCTTAGAAATGTTGCTCCTATTCTTTACCAGTGCTGCCAGCCTAAGCCAGGCTCTCAGGTGCCCAATCTCTCCTGCCTAAATTACAGCAAAAGCTCCAGGCACTTCCCTCTCTAGTCCATCCTGAACATCACTGGTGGAACCATCGCCTAATGCACCAGTTTGACATATTTTTCTGCTCCTGACCCCCACATTTGCCTTATCTACAAAACTTTTCTCATACTAGTCTTTTCTTTTCTTTTTTTTTTTTTTTTAAAGATTTTATTTATTTATTTGACAGAGAGAGAGATAGCGAGAGAGGGAACACAAGCAGGGGGGAGTGGGAGAGGGAGAAGCAGGCCTCCCGCGGAGCAGAGAGCCCGATGTGGGACTCAATCCCAAGACCCAGGAATCATGACCTGAGCCGAAGGCAGACGCTTAACGACTGAGCCACCCAGGTGCCCCTCATACTAGTCTTTTCTACTTCAGAATGCCTCCTCCTTCTTCTATTAAATAACACAAGTAATATATGAGTACATTATAAAAAATGCAGAAGGATATAAAATAAAAAGTTTAAGTTACCCTTTTCCCAAGCTCCCTGTCCAGTCCTATCCCCAATTTTTCGTAGGCATTTGTGTTCATATGCAAATGTATAGTTCTGGTATTTTCAACATAAATTACATCATTTTTCTAATGATTGTTCATTCAGGAGTTTGCTTTTTATTTTTTATTTATTTTATTTTTTAAAGGATTTTATTTATTTGAGAGAGAGAGTAGGAGCAGGGGGGCAGGGCAGAGGCAGAGGGAGAAGCACACTCCCTATTAAGCAGGGAGCCCAATGCGGGACTCGATCCCAGGACCCTGGGATCATGATCTGAGCTGAAGGCAAATGCTTAACCAACTGAGCCACCCAGATGCCCCAGCTGTTTGCTTTGGAGCTTTGTCCATAGCTGAACATACAAAGTTATTTTAGCCTTTCAACATTACTACATGGAATTCTATGGTATGGATGTATCATAATTTACTTAAACATTCCTCTAATGATGGGTATTTAGGTGGTTTTGAAAATTTTGTTACAAACAGGCAGTGATATAAATCTTTGGACATACATCTTTTTTGGGGGGTGGTTTTCACAGAGCTTTCATTTTTTATTTATTTTTAAAATTTTTATTTTAGTTCCAGTATAGTTAACATACAGTGTTAGATTAGACTCAGGTGTACAACATAGTGATTCAACAGTCCTATACATTACTCAGTGCTCATCATGATAAGTGTACTCTTAATCCCCTTCACCTAGTTTATCCATCCTCCCACCTAACTATAGTTAAAGAGTCTGGTTTTGGCTTGTCTGTCTGTCTTCCCTTGTTCATTTGTTTTGTTTCTTAAATTCCACATATGAGTGAAATCATATGGTATTTGTCTTTCTCTGACTGACTTATTTCATTAGCATTATACCCTCTAGATCCATCCATGTTGTTGCAAATGGCAAGATTTCATTCTTTTTTATGATTGAGTAATATTCCATTGTATATATATACTACATATTCTTTATCCATTCATCTGTCAGTGGACACTTGGACTGCTTCCATATCGTGGCTATTGTAAATAATGCTACAATAAACATAGCAGTGCATATATCTTTTTGAATTAGTGTTTTCATATTCTTTGTGTGAATACCCAGTATTGGAATTACTGGATCAAACAGTAGTTCTATTTTTAGCCTTTTGAGGAACCTCCATACAGTTTTCCAGAGTGGCTGCACCAGTTTGCATTCCCCACAACAGTGCCTGAGGGTTCCCTTTTTTCCACATCCTTGCTAGCACCTGTTTCTTGAGTTTTTGATTTTAGCCATTCTGACAGGTGTAAGGTGATATCTCATTATGGTTTTGATTTGCATTTCCCTCATGATGAATAATGTTGAGCATCTTTTCACGTGTCTGTTGGCCAACCTATATATCTTCTTTGGAGAAGTGTCTGTTCATGTCTTCTGTCCATTTCTTGACTGGATTTTTTGTTTTTTGAGTGTTGAGTTTGGTAAGTTCTTTATATATTTTGGATACCAACCCTTTATCAGATATGTCATATGCAAATGTCTTCTCCCATTCTGTAGGTTGCTTTTTAGTTTTATTGATTGTTTCCTTCGCTGTGCAGAAGCTTTTTATTTTGATGTTATCCCAATAGTTTATTTTTGCGTTTGTTTCCCTTGCCTCAGCAGACCTATCTAGAGAGATGTTGCTATGGCCAAAGTGAGAAAAATTACTGCCTGTGTTCTCTGCTAGTTTTATGGTTTCCTGTCTCACATTTAATTCTTTAATCCATTTTGAATTTATTTTATTATGGTGTAAGAAAGTGGTCCACCTTCATTTTTTTTGTACATAACTGTTCAGTTTTTCTAACACCATTTGTTGAGGAGACTTTTTCCTATGGCATATTTTCCTCTTTTTTCAAAGATTAATTGACCATATAATCCTGGTTTTTTTCTGGACTCTCTATTCTGTTCCATTGATCTATGTGTCTGTTTTTGTACCAGTACCATCCTGTTTTGATTACCACAAGCTTTATAGTATATCTTGAAATCTGGGATTGTGATACCTCCAGTTTTGTTCTTTTTCAACATTGCTTTGGCTATTCAAAGTGTTTTGTGGTTCCATACAAATGTTAAGATTATTTGTTCCAGTTCTGTGAAAAATGCTGTTGGTATGTTGATAGAGATTGCATTAAATCTCTATATTGCTTTGGGTTGTACAGACATATTAACATTTGTTCTTCCAATCCATGAGCATGGAATATCTTCCCATTTGTCTGGTTATCTTCGATGGCTTTCATCAGTGTTTTATAGTTTTCAGAGTACTGGTCTTTCACCTCTATGGTTAAGCTTATTCCTACATATTTCATTATTTTTGGTGTAATTATAAATGCTGTTGTTTTCTTAATTTCTCTTTCTGCTACTTCATAATTAGTATTTAGAAATGCAATGGATTTCTGTATATTGATTTTGTATCCTGCGACTTTACTGAATTCCTTCATCAGTTCTAGTAGTTTTCTGGTGAAGTCTTTGGGCCTTTCTATATATAGTATGATGTCATCTTCAAATAGGGAAAGTTTTACTTCTTCCTCACCAATTTGGATGCCTTTTATTTCTTTTTTTAAAAAAATATTATTTATTTATTTATTTGATAGAGAGAGAGAGCATGAGTCGGGGGCAGAGGCAGAGGGAGAGGGAGAAGCAGACTCCCTGCTGAGCAGAGAGCCTGATGCGGGGCTCGATCTCAGGACCCTGAGATCATGACCTGAGCTGAAGGCAGGTGCTTCACCGACTGAGCCACCCAGGCGCTCCAAATGCCTTTTATTTTTTTGTTGTTGTTGTCTGATTGCTGTGGCTAGGACATCCAGTACTATGTTGAATAAAACTGGTGAGAGTAGACATCCTTTTTCTGTTCCCAACCTTAGGGGAAAAGATCTGTTTTTCACCATTGAGGATATTTGCTGTGGGTCCTCTAGTCTCCTGTTTATTCTCTCTAGGATATTTTTAATTTCACCTATTGAGTTCTTCATCTCCATTTGCTTCTTTTTTATGTTTTCTGTCTCTTTGTTGACAGTCACACTGAAGTCTCCACTGTTTTCTTAAGTCCAGTGAGTATCCTTATGACCATTACTTTAAGTTATCTATCAGGCATATTACTTATTTTCATTTCATTTAGCTCTCTTGCTGTGATTTTGTCCTGTTCTTTCATTTGGAACATATTCCTCTGTTTCCTTATTCTGTCTAACTTTCTTCGTCTGATTCTATGTGTTAGAAAAGTCAGCTACATCTCCTGCTCTTGAAACTGGTGTCCTTATGAAGAAGAGGTCCTTTAGTACCTGCAGGGCAGTGTCCCCAGTTCACTAGATCCTGGCACTTCACTGGTGTCTCCTATGTGTGTTGTGTGCACTGGACTATTTTGGCTGAGCCACGTTTGCCTTCCGTGCAGTCGGTTAAGCGCCTGCCTTCAGCTCAGGTCATGATCTCAGGGTCTTGAGATCGAGTCCCACACTGGGCTCTCTGCTCAGCAGGGAGTCTGCTTCTCCCTCTCCCTCTGCCTCTGCCTTCCGTCCCTGTCTCTCTTTGCCTGTTGGCGGCAAGATTTGGTCCCTGTGGCATTAGTGGGCCAGTCTGAGGGCCGCCTTGAGCATGAGTTGTGTCAGATCAGGTGTTTGCCAGAGATGCGGTAGCATCAAACTACAGGGTGCTCTCCCCGTGTTGTCCCCTGAGAAACTTTCTTCGGTGGGTAGAGCCTGCCATCAGACCCGATATCTACCTCCAGCACACTGCTAGGTCCCCAGTTGGACTTGTGTCTATGATTATCTTCCCCTCTGCTTGGGGCCGGAGCCACTTTGGAGTGGTTCTGACCCCTGTTGGGACTGCTTGCACACTGCCAGGCTTGTGGCACCACTTTGGATGGGCTCCGGCCGAGGGCAAATTGGAGGGGCAGGTCTACGGGAGAAAGCGTGGGCAGGGCATGGGGTTCCAGCAGGGTCTACGCTGACCTGCTATGGGAGGGGACCTGTAGTCACCAGGGAAAACTGCTGAGTCTGGCCGGGTCAGAGGGGGTGGATCTGTAGAATTGCATGGCAGCAGGGCACACTGTTGGCAATCTCCGTGGAGAGAGTTGGCACTGTGCTCGTTACCACAGGTGTTGGGGTATCTAGGCTGGGGGCAGGGGAGGGAAATGCTGCCTGCCAGTTCTTTTGTTCTTGGAGCAGACTCCCAAAGATCCCTGCCCCTACTGCACACGCTGTGAGATTAGTATACAAATCTCCCTCCTGTATACCCCAGGCATTTTTCAAACTGCTGCTACTATGCTGTAGAAGCTGTTTGTTGTGCTGTCTACGTTGCAGGGGGGACACTCAGTTTCTTATTGCCCTCTGGCTCTCCCAGAGCTGAACCAGCTGATTTGTGAAGTTCCAGGTGTGAAGCCCCACTGATTGTAAGAACTTGCAAAGCCGGGCCCCTCTGGTTCTCAAAGCCAAACTCTGTGGGGACTTGCCTTCCCTCTGCAGGCCCCTGTGCCTGGGGCACTTAGTGTCAGGGTCTGTTCCTCTCCCCTCTCCAGGCCCACCTCACTCTTCCCTCCCACAGACTGTCCCAGGAGTCCACCTGGCTCCAGCACATATCTCCCCCTCCACACCTTCCTCAATCAACATGGCTTCTTCTCTATACCTAACTGTGGAGAATCTGTTCTGCCAGTCCTTAGACCATTCTCTGGGCCATTCATACTGATGTGTGTGCATCCAGTTGCGTCTATGGGATGAGGTGAGCCCAGGATCCCCCCACTTTGCCATCTTCCCTGGAGCCAAACCTGTATCTCTCTTTTTTTTTTAAAGATTTTATTTATTTATTTGAGACAGAGAGAATGAGAGAGAGAGAGCACATGAGGGGGGAGGGTCAGAGGGAGAAGCAGGCTCCCCGCCGAGCAGGGAGCCCGATGCGGGACTCGATCCAGGGACTCCAGGATCATGACCTGAGCCGAAGGCAGTCGCTTAACCAACTGAGCCACCCAGGCGCCCAAAACATGTATCTTTTTATACTTGTATAAATATGTCCAGAATATGGCTAGAAGTGGAATTGCACAATCAAATGATGTGTGCACTTTGATAGATCCTGCCAAATGCCCTCCAAAAAGATGGTAACAGTTTACTCACCCACCGAGAATATCTAAGAGAGCTCATTTCTCCATATCCTTTTTTTTTTTTAAGATTTTATTTATTTATTTGAGAGAGAGAAAGATATTGAGAGAAAGAATGAGTGGGAAGGAGAGGGAGAAGCAGGCTCCCAGCTGAGCAGGGAGCCCAATGCAGGGCTTAATCCCAGGACCCTGGGATCACGACCTGAGCCGAAGGCAGATGCTTCACCAACTGAGCCACCCAGGTGCCCCTTTCTGTATCCTTACTATTACTGGATATTATCAACTTTTGAAATTTGGGACCTCTGGTGGGTGGAAAATGATGCTCATTATTGCTGTGTTATAGTGAAGGTACTAGTAATATTTCTTGAAATGAATTGAGTTTATCTTTCCTCATGTAGGTTGGCATTACAAAGGTGTTTGCTGAAGTTCTCCCTTCTCATAAGGTTGCTAAGGTGAAGCAACTTCAGGAGGAGGGGAAACGGGTTGCAATGGTAGGCGATGGAATCAATGACTCTCCAGCTCTGGCGATGGCTAATGTAGGGATTGCCATTGGCACGGGGACAGACGTAGCCATTGAAGCAGCTGATGTGGTTTTGATAAGGGTAAGTCCTGTGGCCTGAATGTTGAGGTCCGTGATATTGCTCCACCTGGTCAGGGTTAGTGTTGTAAAGTATATCAAGTAGAACAACCCTTTCCTTCTAATTCCTGTGCTCCCAGCCTTTGAGACTAGGAGAATTCAAGATGGGAGTATGAGAAGTCCTACTAATTACTTCCCTACTTTCTCAGTCAAGCAAAGCAGATGAGAATGACAAGCTTCTAAAGTAAAGAATAAGATTGGGGAACGTACTTATAATAAAATTTTCTTCAACAAACACTTGCTGAGATTATTTTAAGTGAGGTAATCTACATAGCAGCATATAACCCCAAAAGTGTTTTCTAGACCCCTGAGGAAAATTCCTGAAAAACATCTTCCAAGGCTGACTGAAATTTTCAGCAATATTTGAACTTTATAGTTAATTCATATTACCCACCCTAAGGTACACATCATCTTCAGAATCACATTATCAATTACAAAAGTACTCGTTAAGTTAGAGTCTCTCCCTAATATCACAAATATTTCTGTTCTCAGAATGATCTTCTGGATGTAGTGGCAAGTATTGACTTATCAAGGAAGACCGTCAAGAGGATTCGGATAAATTTTGTTTTTGCTCTAATTTATAATCTAGTTGGAATTCCCATAGCTGCTGGTATGTGACTATTAGTATTACTTTTTCCTCTGAAGTCATTAGAGGCCTATCATTTTGGAAATTTTTAGTCTTATTATTAGCTTTGAGTTCAGTTTTTATAGGTAGCCTGCTGGTGTGGTAAAAGGTAATATTAAAATCAATAATTATAATTTTGAGCAATGTTCATTATGGCATAAAATATATAAGCATTCTGATAGGTTTATTTTATTTTCCCCTCCAACTTTATATTTTGAAAAATTTCAAAGCTATATATAACCTGGAAAAAAGATACAATGAAAACCTGTATAGTCTTCATTTAAATTCACCAATTAATAATACTTTTCCACATTGTTTCATCTCTTTCTCCATATGCCCTCACATTTACATTTATATTTATGTTTATATTTATTTACTTATTTATCTTTTGCTGAAGAGAACAAATTTACTTTTAAAGATTTACTTTTTTAGAGAGAGAGAAAGAGCGAGCATGTGCAGGGGGAGGGGCAGAGGGAGAGAAAATCTACAGCAGACTTTCCCGCTGAGCATGGAGCCCAATGCGGGGCTCAATCTCAATGAGATCATGACCTGAGCCGGAATCAAGAGTCAGATGCTTAGCAGACTGAGCCACCCAGGTGCCCCAAGAACAAATTTACTTTTAATCTCACTACCCAAACACAAGTACTGTTAGCATTTTAGTGTATTTACTTCTAGTCTTTTTTATTTTGCATCAGTTTTTTTGTCTTGTTATATGGTTATAATTATAGCATACAGAGAATTTTTTGCTCTTCACTTAACATTCTAATAGCCAACAGGATTTTGTTTTTTTTTTTAAGTTTGGGTAACAGGAGAGAAAGAGAGAGAGAAGGGGGGGGGTGGGGGGGAGGGAGAAAGGGGGATGAAAAAAAGGGGAGGAGAGGGACGGAGATTGACGGATTGAATAAAGGAATATGACCCAGAAAAAGCAATTTAGAATTTTTAAATAAACATTTGATAATGTCCTGTACTTAGGGACTTGGTAGGAGTTAGTAATAAATTGTATTTTTTTTTTTTTTTAGAGAAAGAAAGTGCAGGGGGAGGGGCAGAGGGAGAGGGAGAGAATCTTAAGCAGGCTCCATGCCCAGCACAGAGCCCAGTGCAGGACTTGATCCCACGACCCTGAGATCATGACCTGAGTCAAAACCAAGAGTTGGATGCTTAACCGACTGAGCCACCCAGGTGCCCCAGGAGTTAGTAATAGCAGAAGAAAATAGTTACCACTTTCTTCTTCTCTCTGGTTTGAGAGCCAAAGAGGACAGGAAATGATGTAAGAACAATTACAAACCTATTTATAAACAAGGACACAAAATGCTGAGGGAACAAAAAAATAAAAGAACAATCAAAATCCAGAAAGATTAATTCATAGCAGCAAATGATTTTTTAAAAATTATATAAGTAGGGGCAGGGTGGAAAAAATTATGCAAGTAATATATGATCACTGTAGAAAAGAGAAAAATACAGATAAGCACATAAAAAGTTAGAAGTAGAGTAAGTCTACCTTATCCCTGTCATATAAGCCAAATGTCCAAATGTCTGTCAAATTCATACACTATTCATACACTATTGGTGGGATTATGATGTGGTCCAAGGCACTCTGGAGAACAACTGAGGAATATCCACCTAAAGTTGAAGATGTGCCCATGTTATAATGCAGTTTCACCTCTAGGTATGTTCCCTGGAGAAATTCTCAAACACGTGCACAGGGAGACACGTACAAGAATGTTCACAGCAACACTCTATCCTCCTGTTGGTGGAGATTTATGTCACTGCCAATTTTTCACATATAACGTGCTGAATAAATATCAGACAAGGAAATGAGGTGTATGTATGTATCAGAAACACATTAATAATCTGTTTCATACTGTCTGCTCTAACTAATCCAAACTTGTTTCCTAGGAGTTTTTATGCCCATTGGTTTGGTTTTGCAGCCCTGGATGGGATCTGCTGCAATGGCTGCTTCATCTGTCTCAGTAGTACTTTCTTCTCTCTTCCTTAAACTGTGAGTATGATGGCTTGCTCACATTTGTATCTTATATTCCTTTTATCATCCACAGTCAGTCTTGGTAGGTCTTATTCTTGTGTGATGGGCCCAAACTGTTCTTAATAAGAAATGTTAGCTATGTCATAATCATCTTATGTAGTCTCTACCTAGCAAGCACAGCACTGTAAAATGTAGTACTTTGGCTCTGAGAAGTAGAATTTCTGATCATGTGACTCCATACAATTTCTTTTTGAGTGACTTTCCTAGCAGGAACCACCTTAGTAGATTTCATGCCCGGCAAATATATTTCCAGTTTTGACTGTAACAAGTGTCTAGTTCACATTTGCTTATTTCAAACTAGTGTATTTTTGCATGTGTTCAGTTACAGAAAACCAACTTATGAGAATTATGAACTGCATGCCCGAAGCCAGATGGGACAGAAAAGGCCTTCAGAGATCAGCGTTCATGTTGGAATAGATGACACCTCGAGAAATTCTCCTAAGCTGGGTTTGCTGGACCGGATTGTTAATTACAGCAGAGCCTCCATAAATTCACTCCTGTCTGATAAACGGTCCCTAAACAGCATTGGTACCAGTGAACCTGACAAGCATTCCCTTCTGGTGGGAGACTGCAGGGAAGATGATGACACCACATTGTAACAGGCCACACAGAATGCTACTAGATGTTGTTATGCACTGATACAGCATTAATGATGTCTCCTTAACTTTTCAAAATATCGTGGAAGGACTTTATATTGGTCTCATGCCCTTATGGTAGGGAGTCCCTTTGAATTGCATTTGTCTAAAGGCAAAAATACCTTTCTTCAGAGCATTAGCTCTCAACCTAGCTTTATTTAAAATGAATTTCCAATACTTTTTGTTTTCTCTAGTAACAGATAAGGTAGGCCAGTGAGGTTTACAACAAGCCCTACAATTGAAGATTGCTGATTTGCTGCTAAAGTGGTAGATAATTTTTTATTTGACCAAAAAGAAAAGGCTCAAGAGAAAGGATACTTGAAAGTTTGAAGATCTGAGAGCATGATCTTGAGGACATTCTTGAGCCCTCAGCCCTGCCAGGTTGGGGAACAAGGGCTTTAAAACACTGTATAAAGCATCTGGTTTTAGAAGGAAAACAGTAGAAACTGTTTAAAAATAGACGTGCCTTATTTATTACAGGCTTCCCCCCCCCCCGCCCCATTCTCTCTGCATCTTTGTCTTTGCAGTTGCTTTCTTAGATGCCCTAGTATGGTTCTTTGTCGTTGTTATTGTTCTTTCGAGTGAGCTCAGTGTAGGTGATTTTTGATGGATAAAAATAACTGACAACTTTTCCAATATCTTCTTCCTTTCTTTATCTTGTAGCCCCAAAGACCTTAAGGGTCCAGAGGGTTCTTTGTTTCCTATCTCTCCATTGTTGTAAAAAAAAAAAAAAAGATATCGGATTCTTCTTTCATTGACTCCCTAGCTCTGTACAAACTTTCAATTTACTCCTGCTTAGTTCCACTATAAATTGTTCTTAGTCTCTCAGCCTCAGTCCAGAAACTTAAGATTTTGAGCCTCTTCCACAGTTGACTTTTTCAGATTAACACTACCATCTTTAACATATACGGGTCATATGAAATTACCTGGATTCACTAAATTTGTCCTTTATGGGAGAGAATACAAGACTTTAGCTGGTATCTATAATTTAATAGATTTTCAGTATATTTTAGTATTTTAGATGACTTCTCAAGATGACTTTAAAATAATGCTATTACACAAAGCTGCATTTACCCAAAAATACAATAAATTGTCATACAGAAATGAGAATTTCCCTAGGTTGTGATACCTTTTAGCCAAATCTATACTTTTCTCTAGTTTAAAACATTTGCCCTTGCGAAGTTAGTGTGGTTCGCAAATTCAGGGGCTGTTCTCAGTGCCATATACATTTAGAAATCCCCCTCTGAGTGCCTAGGAGTGAATATACTGGTGAGAGATCTGGTACTTGTATCATTATTTAAATTCCTCCTGAATTGCAAGATGGATTTCATATGTAGAATATGGAAGTGAAAATAAATAAATAAATTCCTAATATTTGGTTCCCATCACCATATGTAAATCTGTTAGCACAATGCCTAGCACATAGGATTTGCACTCAGTAAATGTTAGTTCTTTTCTCCCCTTGAGGTCTGTAATGAATATTAATAATCAATTTTTTAGGGCAGAGTCTACAATCAGGTAGGAGTGGGGGATGGGTTTCTTCCTCTCCTACTTCCTTTCTCTCTTATCCTTTCATACACACACAGAAAAGTTTACCACATTATTCCATGTTGTCTTTTCAGATTTGGAAAAAAAATCTCATTTTTATCTCAGCTATCTTAAAGAGAGAATTGAAACTATTGATGAAGGTGCTATTAATCTAGAAAGGCAAACCCGTCTTAATGAAATATGAATGTGATTGTATGTCTAGGCTCTTTAAATGCCTGTGCCACCTTCTGTGCTTCCGCTTTGAATTTTAATATTTGTTTTTTCTTTTAATTCTAGTGGTTCATCATACCACAACTTGTTTCTTCTAGAAGAAACAGCCAATAGGAAAAAATGTATAATAGACTTTTGACAAAAGAAACACCTCTCTTTCTCCCTTACTCTTTCTCTGTCTTTGAAACACTTGAACATAGCCAGTTACTACTTTTATTTCTATGTGTGTTTTTGAGTTGTCCTTTTGGGTCCCATTTGACAAGGGACCCATGTGTCCTAGGACAGTGAGAAGAGCAGCCTATAGTCTGGGAAAAATCAAGGATTTAATTTCAACCCTTGCTATCAGAACAGAAAACATGTTTAGAAAGAATCCTGGTTTAAATATCTGAAACCATCTTTGAATTCTCTACCACAAGTCTCTTTTGTAATCCTGAACTCCCATTAGCTTCATCGAACAGCTGTATTCACAGGAGAGAGAGAGATGATACCAGGATCAAAAACATTGCTTTCAGTTAGTAACTAGCTCTAAGTAACTAGTGGCTAGTGAGAACAAATGTTATAAATGTATATGTGTGTATGTATATGTCTATTCATACATATGTACACACACATATTTACCATATAGAAGGAAAATGGATTTATATTTGAATTTGACATTTGAATATCTGAAGTTCTTTATTTGTTGTTCCCTTATCACTCTTCTGTATTCACTCAGTAACCATGCCCTCGGTCTGAAGATAACAAGGATGTTTTGATATCCAGTGCTGGCTCTGACTCAACAATGGGGCACCTTTTATCTTGAATATCCAAAGATGCCTTTTGAATTTCAAAGGTTAAAACACAACTAGAATACTTAGTGTCCTAGTCTAAAGAAGTATGGTGGTCAGTTGTGAAAATAGAGGTGTTCTTTTTCCTAGTTTAGTATCAGCATTTTAGAGTGTTAAATTTGATGCCTTGTGAACAAAACATTTTATATTGTGCTTTAACTTTTTAAAAGTTTATTTTTTTCTTTTTTCAGATGTCTTCTTTCTTCAGAATGCTTAAAATAGCACTGTAGACAAGATGTTTCCAAAAATTTAAGTGTGCATATCTTTTATGTACACAGCTTAAAATCAAGAATGTATGTTCTTTGAGAATTTTTTTCCCATTTCTTGTGAATCTTGCTTTAAAATTATTTTTCTTAATATTTATTTTACTCTATTTTGTTATTTTCTTTGGCTGAGGCATCTGGTTATTGGTTATTTTAATAAGAATAAAAACATTCCTGGAATCACTCCCTTTGGATTTTTTGCTTGTTTATTTTGTACTTTTCTACATTTAAAAATATTATTTTACCAAATATAAAAAATATGGATTCATGCCGAATTATTAGCTATTTTTACACTAAGTTTCTGTAGTCCCTCTGAAAGTTTATCTGGTGTGAATAACCAGGTAAAGCACAAAAGCATGAAATCTTGTTCTTCAGTTAAAAGAGCTTCTATCGTGGCATTGATAATAGATACCTTTTGTAGCCAAAACCAGGCGTCTCAACCTTATGTTTTTAGTTAAATGTTTAACTAAACATTGTTAAACATTGATTGTTTGGTACCCAAAACAGCAGTGGACAATGTTGTGCAATAATCATCTACTACAGTTAAGATATTCAGTAGTTTGTTTTTCCATAAGCATGTAATTGATCATATTTCTGCCAAGGATGTGCCTTCAAATTTAGAATTATAGTATTGTAGAGAAATGTGTTTTGTCAGTGTCTCTTTTGTTAAACCATCCAACTCTTCTTCCAGCAGTTCCAAATACCCTGGTTTAGTTTAGTTTTTTTTTTTTTTTTTTTTTTTTTGACTGTTCATCAACGATGGGGCAGGCTTGGAGGCAGCATTACACATTCACTATGAGTAGGAGGGAAGAAAACTCTGGTTTCCTTCAGTTCCACCCCACCTGCTGTATCATTTAGTGAGGGTGAAAAACAAAGAAAGGAATTTAGTTGTCCTCAAGAGGAATTTTGTAGTCTCTAATACATTCTTGAGATTATCTACCCCAAATGAGCTTAATGGAGGGGCGCCTGGGTGGCTCAGTCATTAAGCGTCTGCCTTTGGCTCAGGTCATGGTCCTGGGGTCCTGGGATCGAGCCCCACATCGGGCTTCCTGCTCAGCGGGGAGCCTGCTTCTCCCTCTCCCACTCCCCCTGCTTGTGTTCCCTCTCTCTCTGTCAAATACATAAATAAAATCTTTTTAAAAAATGAGCTTAATGGAGACAAGAGGTTTTCTTACATTTGGTGGCCCCTGTACAGTGTTTGAGGATCCCACCCAAAACATATTCCCATACCAAGCACTTCTGTGGGTTACAGAGAGGGTTTTATTTTATTTTTTAAAGATTTTATTTGTTTATTTGTCAGAGAGAGAGAGAGAGAGAGAGAGACAGCACAAGCAGGGGGAGCAGCAGGGAGAGGGAGAAGCAGGCTCCCGCTGAGCAGGGAGCCCGATGCGGGGCTCGATCCCAGGTCCCCGGGATCATGACCTGAGCCGAAGGCAGACGCTTAACCGACTGAGCCACCCAGGCGTCCTGGTTATGGAAAGGGTTTTAAACTTATTATAAGGAAAACCTCATTTTCATTTCTCTCCCCCAATCTTGAGACGATTCAGGTTGATGAGATAGGATTGGAAATGGAAACCTAAGAGTAAAATCCCTGAACCATCCACTTAGCTGCTCAGCCTCCCTCTTCTGTCAGTGTCTTGACTAACCTCCAAGAAGGATGTTCAAGATAGCAACATCCCAGGTGAGGTTTCAAAACCTTCTAGACCCAAAACAAAACAAAACACCAGAAAACCTTCCTATTGGGGAATGCTTGCTATGTTAAGGCATCGAAGTCCCTGCTAAAATTCAAATAGAGACAAGAGAGGTAGAGCTGTATCTTTCACAAATTTGACCAGAGCCAACCAACTCTACTTGCATAATAGCTTCCTCTTCATAGATGTGACCGTTAGTTATGAAGAAGAATTAGAAGGTAGAGATGAAAGGCAAGATTCCAGGACAAGGTTTAAGTGAAGATGCTGTTATAAATAGGATCTCATGCAATGTAAGAAATCTGAGAACTTCCATACAGTCTTCTCTCTGGAAAAGTTTGAAATAGGCTGTGTAGTCTTTCGAATACTGTACCTATGGCCCTGGAGTGGCCCCCAGCTTTTCATTGTCAGCATCCAGCTCCTTCCTCCCAGGCCTGTCGATAAACTGAAGTGTTGCCATTACTTTAACATTACTTGTTTCACCTCACCCAAGCAAAACTTCGATTTCCTCACTGCAGTTTTATCACCAAGTAATAGGACAAAAATGGAGATTAATTTCACCCATCCTAAAATGCTAGTGACCTTTAAATCTGGCCAGAAGTATTTGCAGTTATTTGGAAAGATTATTTTTAATCCAAATAACTATTGAAATGAAAAACATCTGACTGTGTGGAAGAGGTTTGGGGGAAAGTAGACTCCAGGATCAACTCTCCTCAGCTCTTCTTGCTACTTGGAGCATTTTACCTTCCACTTTTCTTTTTTAAAGATTTTATTTATTTGAGAGAGTGAGGAGTGAGTGAGCATGAGCAGGGGGAGGGAGGGGCGGCAGACTCCCCGCTGAGCAGGGAGCCCAATGTGGGGCTCGATCCCAGGACCCTGGGATCATGACCTGAGCCGAAGGCAGCTGCTTAACCAACTGAACCACCCAGGCGCGCCTACCTTCCACTTTTGTATCCACCATTTCTTAAAAAGCATCACATCCCCCCATAGTGATGGGAAGAGCACTGCTTTTGGAGGCCACGGGACCTATTTGCAAACTCCCAGTTCTGCCACTTACCACCTGGGTGACTATTAGTTTCCTCTTGATGCTGTAACAAATTACTGCAAATTTTGTGTCTTAATACAAATTTATTATCTGGAGTTCTGGAGGTCAGAGTCTGAAATGGGTCTCAAGGCTAAAATCCAAGTGTCAGCAAGTCTGTATTACTTCTGTAGGCTCTAGGAGGAATCCAGTTCCTTGCCTTTTTCAGCTTCTAGAGGCTGCCTGCATTTGTTGGCTCATGGCCCCTTCCTCGTATCACTCCAGCCTCTTGCTTCCATCATCCCATTTTCTACTATTACCTCTGACCCTTCTGCCTCCCTCTTACAAAGACCTGTGTCATTGCATTGGGTCCACTCTGATAATCCAGAATAATGTCTTCATTGCAATACCCTTAAATTGTATCTGCCAAGTCTCTTCTTGCCATGTAAAGTAACATTATTTTGCCTACCACAGTGACCATGGACAAGTTGCTTAATCTAACTGAACCTCAGTTTCTACAAGTGCAAAATGAGGATAAGACTACCTACCTTGTAGAATTGTGAGACTTGCTAGTAATGGAGATGAGATTTCCAAAACAGCAAAAGCACCATGGAAAATGTTGCCATTTCCTTGGCCTGAGCATAGGGATAGAAAGACAAACTTGCCACAGCCACTTGGGTTTGTAGATCAGTCATTGGTCTGGAGCTGCCTGAGATGCTAATGTCCTATTTTGAAGAGAGCTTCTTTTGCCTGTAGGAAGGCCTCATATGATGTGATTTAAGGAGCACCAAAAGAGCCACCTGCTTGACCCAAATACTGCCTATACCAATCACATTCTTTTGAGTCCTTAAACTTAACAATGTTAGCCTTTCCTTTTCTTCCATAATTGTCACTCTTCATCTTTGTGCCCGTTCAACTAAAATAACACTCCCACACTGAGGAATAGCCAAGCGCATTCTTAAATTTAGGACCATAGCTGTCGGACAAAGTCCTCTCCCATAGTCACAATGAACCAGCTGCCTCTGTTCAAAATAAATTACTCTGTATGTGTTGTAATGAGCACCAGGTGTTATATAAGATTGATGAGTCACAGGCCTGTAACCCTGAAACAATACATTATATGTTAATTAACTGAATTTAAATTAAAAAAATTATTCTGTTCCTTATTAGGTTGAACCACTGGTTCAGCTTGTGGGAAATGCAAACTATCAGCTTCCCCGCCCCAAGACCAGATGAACCAGAACCTGCCTGTTAACAGGATCCCTGTTTGTATGTGCGTTAAAATATAAAAAGCACTGCCTTGAAAACGAACTGCTTTGGAGTAAGTTGGAAATGCCTACAAATCTGTCAAAGACCCACACAGGAATCTTCCAAACTATAATCATTTGAGGACAACCTTCATAATTTATTTTCTTTTGCTATTAGAGAATGTGTTAACTGGAAAAATTAAAATTAGGAGGAGGATAAGATGGCTGAGGAGTAGCAGGACCCTAGGCTTGCCTTGTCCCTTGAACACAGCTAGATAAATAGCAAATCCTTCTGAACACCCAAGAAATCCAACCAAGGTCTGAGAGAACAAACTGCACAACATGAGATTAAAAACAAAACAAAAAACCCAAAAGAACCCCTGCCACATAGTGGAAGGTAGAAGCAGCAGAGAGTTAATTTGCGGGACCAAAGAGCTGTGGGCACTGCAGAGGGGAGGGAGCCCTGATCACGGAGAAAGGGGCGAGGGAGAGAGAGAGAGAGAGAGAGAGAGAGAGAGAGAGAGAGAGAGAGAGAGAGAGAGAAAACATGCTCAGGGGATTGCGAGAGAGAGAGAGAGAGAGAGAGAGAGAGAGAGAGAGAGAGAGAGAGAGAGAGAGAGAGAGAGAGAGAGAGAGAGAGAGAAAACATGCTCAGGGGATTGCACCAGAAAAACTCTTCCCCCAAACCGTGGACTAGGAATAGGAGAGGGGCTGAACATCGCAAGATTTTTAGAAGCCATGAAGCGAAAGTCTGACGTTTTAGAGGTCAGCGCCCTCGTGAGGGCCTCGACTGGTAGGCGTAAGGGATCTCTGGTGGGGAAGGGGGGCGCCCCCCGGGAGTGCGCAGCCTGGTCTGAGGACCCCCTGGGTCGCACGGGAAGAAACCGGTCCCCTTCTCGGAGCGCATTTGGGAGAGACGGCAGGGCCTGGCTGGGGACAAAAGACCCGGCAGGCTCCCCCGAGCTGCTCGGTTCACTAACAGGACCGGGGACGCGGGCTGACTGGCGAACCTTGGCGCGGGCTCTCGGCTGTGCTTTTTACCACGAACTGCGAGCCGCCGTGCCGTCCGCGGCCATTTTCTGGGACTTGCCGGCACCTGGCAACAGTGAAGCGAGATCGTCCCCCGGGGGATCGGCGGGGGTCTGTGCCAGGCCGATCTCTAAAATGTGGGGTTTTGAAACCCAGCCACACGCCTGAGATGAAACACAGGAGTACTGGGCTGCTGGCAGACGGACAGCTCGGACGCAGGCAGGGTGAAGGCAGAGATCTGGTGGAAGCCGGGGCCGCAACACGGGTGACTGTTTGCTCTTCCGTGAGGGCTTCCTGAAGACTGGCAGCCGCCAACATCCCGTTCCAGGAACAAGACGGCGGAGCAACTGCAGAGCAACGCCATTCCAGCCGCCCCGCCGCCCATCAGCACCGACCAACTTCAGTGAGCCACACAGCACCACCAAGTGGAGGCCAGAGGTGCTTACACCAAACCCCGACACCCTGTGCCCTGCAGGTGCGTTTCCACCAGGGCAGGTCAGGCAGAGAATCAGGGCACCAAGTCCCACCCCCCAGCGACCAGTATGAACCCCTCCCACACACCAAGCCTGCTGATCGTAGAGTGCTGCAAAGCTTCAGCTCTAGGGGAAATAGGATCCAGTTTCCTTTCTTTTTGTTTTAGAGAGGTGGGGGGTGGGG